TCCTCCACATCTCCCACACAGCAGACTCCCGGGAGACCTGGGCCACAGCAGGGCGCTCCGGGAGCCGTGGGAGCTTTGGCACTGGATAGACCCAGGCTCCATCCTGACCTTTGTTACTTATGAATATTATTATTTTTTTAAAGATTTTATTTATTTGACAGACAAAGATCACAAGTAGGCAGAGAAGCAGGCAGAGAGTGGGGGTGGGGAAGCAGGATCCTCGCCAAGCAGGGAGCCCGATGCGGGACTCGATCCCAGGACCCTGAGATCATGACCCGAGCCAAAGCCAGAGGCTTCAACCACTGAGCCACCCAGGCGCCCCTACTTATGAATATTATCAACATTGGAAATTTATTTGGGGCTTTACTATGTGTGAGGCACCATGTTGAGTGTTTTAGATAATCTTGTTAAATATTATGACTCCGTGAGGTAGGTATTATCCCCATTTTACAGATGAGAAAACTGAGCCTGGAGGACAGCACATCTACTTTACATTTCTGCTCAAATGCCTCTTTCCCAGAGCAGGGCTCTCCCGCCCCCAGCCCAGCGCTCTCCTCTCCATGTGCCTTCATGCTGCTGCCCCCACTCCAGCACGCCTGTCCCCTCTGACACACTATATCCTTTACTTCTTAGTAGTTTAGCACCTGCCATATGTCACCAGGCCATTCTGGAATCTTTGGCAGTGTTGTACACAGATGTATGGGCTAAGACACGAGAGCAATGCCCAGTTCACAGTATGAGTCCCACCAGGGAATGCCAAGTGACGGTTGAATAATTTGCCCAGGTGTGTGTTACCTGGGGGTTGCTCGCCAGAAGGCTTCAGTGGCTGGTCTGAATCACCGCTTTTGCCAGTCAACCAGCTCTGGGACCTTGGGGAACTTGTTCTTTCTGAGCCTTGCTGCTTTGGTAAGAAAACAGACGAGTAACATTTATCCCATAGCACGGGTGTGGGGAGTCCTGGGGCCGTTCATGTAAACTTCTGGCCACATGATAGGCGTTCCGTACATGTTAGCTCCTTCCCCCAAGGAGGGCTTTTTTCCTCTTCTTGTTTCTCATTTTTCTCTCATGGTCTACCCTTCCACCCCTTTGCTGTTCAAGTCCCGTTCCCTAGGAGGACGGCTGCTAAAGGAGGGGTTGGTGTGATCTGTGGCGTCAACCAGCCCATGTGCTCTCCCCGCCTCCTTCCTCTTCGGGGATGTGTCTGTTGCTAAGGAGACACCACCTCAGGCCTGACAGGATATGGCTGGGGTTCTGGCCCACACTGCAGGCGAGAGACTAGAGATAGGGCTGACCCCGGGGAGAGAGAGAAGGGGAGGGACTTGGCTAGCCTCCGGGGCTGGCAGTCTGGGTGGGATGTCACGCTGGAATCTGCTGGAAAAACCCAGCTGGCTCCCTAAGAAAATGAAGTGTTTGTCTTCTTGCCTCTGTGGGGCCTCTGGAGAAATGACCAATGGCCCTTTTTGGGAGGCTGGAGTGGAGCTCCTGTTGGGTCACAGTCTAGTGGTGCCGGTTGAGGTGTGATGCCCAGACCCTGGGAGGGGGCCATAGCAGCCAGAGTGACGCATAATCAGACTCTTGGCCCTCAGAATGGCACCTCCCCAGAGCAGGGCTGGCGACGGAGTAGAAGCTTGAAGAAGCTGTGTGGGTGATTCACGGCTCTGCCTTTGCAAAGGCCGGCCACACCGGCTGGTGAGAGAACTCGGCCTGGACACTACTGCCTCTTCTTGCCACCGGAGTGGGACTCCGTGCCTAGGTCCTTCCCAACCCATCCCCTGCCCCCGGGCAGCATGGAGGGATGGTGGATTTTTGTCACCAGTTAGTGACCGCCCCCCACCCCCCGGAACAGGAAGGAAGCATCTGTGTTAAGAGCTCAGGCTGGGGGCCAGACTGCTTTGATGGGGTCCTTCCTCTGTTTGTCCAAGCTCTGTGTGAGATGGACAAGCCACTTAGCTTCTCTGTAAAACTGGGGTCATCACAGCACTTCCCACTTGGGACTGTTGTGAGGATTACACACGCTGATTCTTCTAAAGACCTTCGATCTGGCCCAGACACACCAAGCTCACTAAACGTGGCTATTCTTCTCATGTGGAGGGTACATTCCTGGGGGAGAGGAGTGTTCTTGGGCAGAATAAAAATGGTATTAATATTATTATTACTAGAGTGAGCCGGGGCTGCCCCAGATGGGGCCCAGCTCTGTTCGCACGATCCCCTGTAGGCCTGTGCCACTCGTCAGCCCTGGAGCCATTTGCAATTTTTGTTACAAACTCAAGTCACGTAGAAGGCAAGGGTGATGTGAGGAGCTTGAGCGGGGCTAAGGGACAAAGAAAGGACTGAATTGTCTGTGCCCAGAAGGGGTAGGCAAGCGTGTAGGTACCTGCGGGTATCAGAGGAAGGGGAGTTGGACGAAAGCGGGATGGGGAGCCTGTGCCTGGCTAGCTTGGTGTGGCTCTGGGGCGAGTTCAGCACAGACCAGCAAATGTACTGGACTGGGGGGGACTTGGCGCAGAAAGCCTGGATTCCTGGCCCAGTGGGGAGGCTCTATTATTTGGGGGCAGGTAATGCTGAGTTGGATCAGTACTTGCCTGGACTCTGTATCTTTTAGCCTTGTATTTCTCTCAACACAAGCACCGTGGAGGCAGGAGACGTGATGCCCTTCATTGGACCTTGTCACCTTCCTCATGGAAGGGACTCAGTGCTTATCACACAGGAGGTTCTCGATGAACGCTTATTGAATGAATATTTGAATGAGTGAACAGATGCAAGGAGCTTGCTTTCTGGTGTAGCCACCCAAGAATTTAGCTAGATTTTTCAGAAGGCCCCTGTAAGTCCTGCTGTCATCCCATACACTGGGATCCTCCATCTGGCTGAAGGAAGACAGTGTGGGGACAGTAAACTCTACTTACCACTGTATGCCCAGAGCCTAGCTCAGTACCTGGCACATAGTAGCAGCTCAACTAATACTTGTTGAATGAATGAATCACATTCGGAGTAAGCCTTCTTACCCTGGAGCTGGGGTATTGTAGTTGTGCTCTTGACAGCTGGGGGAATTTAGAGCTCCTCTCGGTAACTCATCTGGCCCCCCTCCCAAGCAGGGTATGGTGACACAAATGTACCCTGTTACAAGAAACTCGCTGTTATTACTTTAGAACGTATCCTCTGAAGTTTGCTGCCATCCTGAATTTTCTGATGTCCTTGGCAGGCTGTCTCATGAGCGGTCCTGTCCCTTATTTCTCATGCTGTTGTGTGGAGCCTGTCAATGGACACTGTTATCTTGTCATTTAGCATTACATTTGGAACTACTGCCTCTGTGAGTTTTGGGTTTTACTTATCTTACTATCTTAGATCTACTTGTTCCTTTCCAGAAAGGCAGTAGCTTTCAGAATGACTAGGGAATAGGTTGAGCAGTGACAGCCCTGTCTGTTACCCCCTGACAAGACGGTGTGCTAGGAAAGGGCTCTCGCCTTGCCTGGGGACCAGCTGGCTCTGTGACCTTGGGCAGATCACTTCATCTCTCTGAGCCTCATCTCTGGGTCCATCCATGCCTTTATTCTACATGAGCACATAGGATGGGGCTAACCAGAGGTGGAGCAGTTTTTAAGTTGTTATATGCTTTCCTGTGAAAATGTAGCTGTTTTTATTTTGAGACTTTTCATTTAAGCTCCTGTTCTGAGTGTAAAAACAGTACTACCTATGAGGAATTCATATTTCGTGATTTATTGGGAGTATTATTATTATATTAGAAAATGGTAGGTTTTTTGTTAAATATGTTTTTAAAATGCTTGCTCTGTTCTTAAATGTGATTTTATTACATCCTGGGGCAACTTTTTTCCCCATGAAGAATAGATCTGTGATTTATAACAAGCCTTCAGTACCGAGGCTGCTTGTGAAGATTTTCTATGGTGTTAACATCGTTCCCAAAGGGTCCCCTGGCTACCGAAGCTTCCTGGTTTCTAAACATATTGCAGAGGAGACTAAGTTGCCAGATTCTTTCTAGAAATCAGGGTAACTTGAGACTAGCCATGTCTCTGTCCAGCCACACATTGAAGGGTCTGAGAAAGGAAAGGGCTTTAGGGATACGCCAGACCAAATCTCTTGCTCTTTCGATTAAGAAAACTGAGGCCCAGTGTAGAAAAGTGACTTCCTCCAGGTAGAAGGCCTGGAATATTCCCTCCATAATCTGCCCCTTGCTCATCCTACAGCCCTTGCCTGGTTCAAAGTCAGCCCCCCAAATGTGAACACCGGTGCACATTCCCAAACCACTACTCACACTCTGAACAGATATTTCCCCCCTCTTGTGATTTGCTTTCCAAGTGCCCCGGGATGGAAGGACTACCGCTAATTCAACATTCCAACCAGCATCTACTTGCCCCAGACACTTTTTTTTTTTTTTTTGCACCAGCTAGGCACTAAATATCCAGCAGAGAGTTTATTGGCATAATTTCTCCAGAAAGTGGCTGGAAGACTTAGCAAGTTCCAACTTTAACATTTTTATCAAGAGTCCCAGAGGGTCACCCTTTCCCCTCCCATCATTACCACCAACTCCAATAAGGCTTTCTCTACCACAACGAGTCAGGGTGCACAGAGCAGAAACAGCACAGGCCAAACCAGCAGGCACATGGTACATGAGTGAATCAACAGCAAGCAACCGCCTGGGAGCCATCTTTGTTAAGGGCAAAATAGGGTCCTTGTGACACTGGAGAATACAGAAAAGACAGGACTACCATGATTCTTCTGAAGAAGTGAAGGAGGGTAGATGGGGTAGGAGGGGAGACTTTCCTTTTCTGTTTTCCTCAGAAAACATGCAAAGAAAGCCTTCACAAATAACTAAGATTACATAAATATCAGTAGCTCCCAAGCTTCCCTTTTCAAAGATGGCCGCCCCTGGGTTCGTTCGGAGGGAACGCGCAACAGAATCTGCTGGGCGTGGAGAGAGAGACAGGCAGCAGGAGAGATTTAGTTTTCCACAAAGGTTGTTTTTTTTTGTTGTTTTTTGTTTTTTGTTTTTTTCCTTTATTGATGGGATTTAAAGTGCATATAACTGAAGGCAAAGTCCAAGGCCTAGAGAGAGATACGAGGCCCGAGAGAGAGGCTCAGAGATTCTAAAGGCAGCAGAAGGATACCCACCTAAAAAGGCCACTTGAGCTGCGAAAAGGATGGGAGAGAGAAAGAGAGAAAATGGGAAAAAGAGAAAGGGGGTTGGGGTGGGATGGGGGTGGGGGGAAGCATTTGGGAGGAAGAAGACAAACACCAGTTCAGAAATTCAGACAAAGATGAGTAGCAAGAGCTTGTTTCTATCCCTGGTAGGAGAAGATGGGCTGGCCTTATGGTACAAACATTTGTTTCAGGGAACGTGAGAAGGGGAGGAACAAGAGCAACTACTTCTGGGCAGGGTGCAGCGCCCCAGGGACCCTTCGGATGGTGGGAGTGGTGGCGGTGGGCCTTCTCCAAACCTCTGCTGTGGTCTTCCCTGGAGACCCAGTGGGGGTCTAAGGAGACTCCAGCCAGCCAGGAGAAGTCAGGGCTGGGGACCTTGATCTGGCGCCTCCCCAGAGGAAGGCCACTTGCTCATGTCACACCGGGCTGTGGCAGGGCCTCACTCACCCACACAGGCTGTGCCGTCCTCGTTGGGCTCGTAGCCCCGACTGCACCTCTTGTTGGTCCGGCACCTGTAACTTCCATACGTGTTCACACACACGGGCTTGTCTCGAGGGCACACGAATGGGAACTGGATGCATTCATTGGTGTCTAGGAAGTGAGGGGAGTGGCTCACTGGGGAGGTGTGGGGCAGTGGGACCTTGCTCAGCCTCTGTCGCCCCCACCTACCCTGTGACCTTGGGCATGTCCTTCTCTCTAGGCCTCAACATCCTCACTTTAGTCCTTTTGGCTGACTTGTTCTCTACCTGACCTCTACATGTTGGGGGTGTCAGGCTTCATCCCAGATCTTCTATCCACCACACTTTCTGTGGGTGGTGCCTTCATACATGGATGATCCCAGATTCCTGTCTCCAGCCCCTAACCCATCTCTGGGGCTCCAGACTCGTGAATCTTATGTTCTTCTCATACTCAGTAAGTCCAAAATGGAACTCTAGGTCCCACAGCCTTCAAACTTCTCCTGTCCACGACCCCATCTCGCCTAAGGCAGTCACAGCCCTGTCACCCACTCTGCTGCTTGAGCGCGGATAGGAGTGATTCCTAGTTCCTCCTCTTCCCTTACCTCTGTAGGCAATTTCATAACCGATCCCGCCATTCTGCCCCCTTAGTACCTGTCTGTCAGTCCAGCTCCTCCTCTGCTGCAGTCTATCCCCAGCCCGTACCGCCCGCTGCCCGGAGGTCCGCAGCCACCTCCGGACAGGCGCCCTGGCTGCCGCATTTCCCTCCAATCCAATCTGCAGTCCATCTTCTGAAAATGTGAATGACCCCATGCCACTCTCCTGCTTAACTGCAAAGGGCCCTAGGAACAAAATCTGGACACCTCGCCACCCTCCCTGACTTAGCACTTGGCTCCTTCCCATTCCTTTCATGCACCAGGCCTCATTCCTGCCTCGGGCGCTTTGCTCGGGCTCAAGCTCAGCTCTTTCTGGGGCTGGACCTTTTCCTCCTTCGGGTCTCAACTCAAAGGTCTTCTCCCTGACCACTCTGTCTAGAACAGTACCCAGAGACACTTTTTAAAGGGTTCTTAGCCCATCTCCTCCGGCTGCCCGGTCACAGGTTTGCGGTTCCCCTCACTAGAATAAATGTCTCCGCAGGGCAGGAGCTTAAGGCCTGCATCCCCAGCACCGTGCATGGGCACATAAACGTCTGCTGGGTGACAAGAAGGAAGAGGTGGCCCGAAGGGTGACCTCACAGGGTCCTGCCGGTGCTCACGCCAGACGCTGGAATTTCTGTGTCCATGCACCATCTGTTTAGAGCCGTTGGGGCGGGGACACGGAGAGTGGAGGGGACATATTTCCTCCCAGGCCACCCTTAGAGCTGTCCTCCTCCACTTTCTCACCTGTGGTCCTTTGCCCACTGGCGCTTTCCACCTGAACACTTTCTCCCCTCTCCCTGCCTGGCAACCGCCCCCCACCCCAGCAGCCAGTTCTCAGCTTAGACCTTGTTTCCTCTGGGGCACCTTCTCTGACCCTCTCTAGCTGGTGCAGGGCCCCGCCTCTGGGCGCCCACACCCTCCCCTCCCCCACCCTGCCCCACTCACACTGCGGGGTCATCCCTGTTCACCCCTGTGCCTCTCCCACAGGCTCTAAGCTCCAGGGGGAGCAGGGACTGTGTCTGTCTTGTTGATTTTTAGGTCTCAGTAGCAAACCCGCTGGCCTGGGACTTGGGAGCACATGCACAGTAGGTGCTTATGGGTCCCCTCCCTGGGCCCAACTTTTTTCCCCGAGCTCAGGGCAGGAAGCACTCACAGTTCCCAGAACTGCAGTGATTCTGCCTGCCGGCAGCGAACATCACTGCCCTCTGGGGAGTCATCTTGGCTTCTGGAGCTCCTGGGGCAAACAATGCCTTTCCTGCCCCACCTGTCTCCTCTGGTCTGCAGTCTGAGCTTGGCCAGGGCTCAGGCTGGCATTCCCCGAGGAGATTCTGGCCTCTGCCCCGCGCCCTGGTGCCTGCAGGCAACTCACCCAGGCAATGGCCGTTTTCCTGCTGGGAGAATCCTTGGCCGCACTGCAGTGTGGGCAGAAGCAGAGACACAAGTGAGTGAAGAAGAGCCCACCTCAGTTTCCCTCCTCATCACAGCCGCAGAGCGGCCGTCACCTGGACCCTAGAACGAGGGGTGCTCGTAGCTCTGGGCCTGGGGGCAGCCCCTCCCTGCCAGGACCCCTTCCCTTGCACTGAAAATAGGAGGCTGGGGGATGGCCGAGAGCACATTCTGTTCAGACTCCTGCTCATTTCACTCCTGTGGGGTGCATGTGTCTGAGCCGGGACGCCTAACAGAACTGTCCCTCTTCAATGACCAGTCCTTGCCCAAACTGCATACAGAGGGATCACCATGGAGCCTGCCCTTTGCTGAGAAGATTTCCACCATCCTAGGGGCAAAGTCTGTAAATTTAGGGGAGTCAAGCTGCTACCCATAGAGCTACAGGGCGGGGCGGGGTGGAAGTGGGGTGCTGCTTTTCTGGCTCTGAGGTCCAGACGCCTTTGCTCACCTCCAGTGGGGCTGGGTCCTGAGGTCTGTCCTCATCCCGGGGGTAGGGGATCTCCAGCACGGAGTTCATCTCCTCACTGGCCACATTCCGGCTTGTCATCTCGCCATCCGGCCATGTCACCTCCACACTGCTGGCTTCATCCTTCCCTGCCGGACCGAAGACAGAACTGAATTTTACATTCTATTTCATGTTAACTAATTTACATTTCCATAGCCACACATGGCTAGCGGCTACCATACGGGACGATGCAGCTCTAGCACTTACATTCCAGTGGACAGGCCAATCAGCATGAAGCTCTTTTGCGGGGTGCGGGGGTGGTAAAGCCTGGTGTAAGCAGGTTGACTTTGCAGTCGTGTGTTCAAATCTTTTTTTTTTTTTTAAGATTTTATTTATTTATTTTACAGAGAGAGAGATCACAAGCAGGCAGAGAGGCAGGTAGAGAGAGGGAAACAGGCTCCCCGCTGAGCAGAGAGCCTGATGCGGGACTTGATCCCAGGACACTGAGATCATGACCTGAGCCGAAGGCAGTGGTTTAACCCACTGAGCCACCCAGGCACCCTCGTGTGTTCAAATCTTGATTGTACCACTTTCCTGCTCCATTGGAAAGAATGTGGTGAGGGCTGGGCATCTGGGGGACCTGGGGCCAAATTCCAGCTCTGCCGCTGACTTGTTATATAATCTTGGGCATGTCGCTATATTTATATATTATTTATAATTATAGCCTGCTAGGGGCCACACTTTCTTCTGCCATTGGGAATGGGCCTGCTTCCAGGGAGCGTCCACAATGGTGGGGATAGACCGGCAAAAAGAACATAATAACATCAGATACTGAGAAGTTCTGTGAAGAAAACAAAAGTAGAACAAGAGAATAAAGAGGAACTGGGGGTTGGCTGGGAGCGTTTTCTAGTCCAGGGTGATCAAGGGTGATCTCAGGGAGCAGGCCCTTGAGCTGAGCTCCAAATGAAAGCCGAGGTGATAAAGAACGGGATGGTGGAAGGCCCAGGGGAAGCCCCAATCTGCAGAGCTGAGATGTTTACAGCAGCTAATGGCGAAGCTCAGAGAACATTCACGGAGAATCCTCCTGCACACACCCTTAAAGCGATGTGCTACCTTGGTGGTAGAAAGTAGCCTGGGCAGATCTGTCCGGTGTTTAGGCCATGTCCGAGCTGGCTGCAGGCCCTTGCTTAAGGCATTGGGGCTGTCACTGCGGCAAAGTCAGGCTAATGGTCATGAACTGGGGTGGGTGGGAGGAGGGGACTGGGCCTCACCTGTGGGGAGAAGCTCTTCACCTAATCGGTCCCTGGGAAAAAGGGCAGTGCTCAGCCCAGGTTGGAGAGAGGGTGCGGCCCCCTCGTTGTCACCCACCAGGGATGACCAGATGTGGGCCTGATGCTCAGGGGTCCACAAACCCAATCAGCTTTGGGCTGAATCAACAATACGTCACCCACGTGTTTGTGCTACTTTTCCCGTAATGTATGCAGATACTCTTAGAAAAACAAGGGGAACCAGAAAGTGCTGCTGAATTTCTAGCAGCTCCGGGCCCTTATTGTCCACCAGTGGATTTTACCAGGATAGCTACTATGGGGGCGGAGGGTAGTCTGTGACACATTTTCATGTATAAAAGGAATTCCTGCATTTTAGAAAATGTTGGCAGCCACAGCTAGACTTTAAGGGGAATGTGCGTGTAGACTTCTCTGTGTAGAGGTGTCCCCTTGGGATGGGAGGCCGGGAAGGCCTGGCGCGGAGGCTCCCAGAGGCCCCTTCTGCCCGGAGTCCTAGCACGCCACTCTGGGGCTTCCAGAGGAAGCTGCCCCTTCCGGGCCACATCACCCAGTGTCTGGGTTCTCCCTGCACTGGCCTCCCCTTTGCCTCGCTGCTGCTGCTGTGTTGTGTGTTAATGAGGGTGGCGACCTGCTCCCACACTAGAAGGTGTCAGGGGGTGGGCAGCCCCTGCCTCCGAGGGCACTTGGGGCAGTGGCTCCTGGGAGAGACTCCTGGAGCAGACCCAGAAACAATTTCTCCTAACCCTCTTTTCCTCTGCTCCCTCCTTCTATAATTCCTTTTGGAGGAGGGGGTGGACATGGGATTAAGTGGTATCACCTATAGGTTTTTTTTTCCTGTTTTGAAATAGTTGCTTGAAGTTAAAGGCACCTGGCGTTTTCAGGTTGAACAGTGCCCAAATTAAGTGGCATATATAAAAAGTAAACATGTTTCCATTAAAAAAAGGAGACAAAGAATAGCAAATGTTTCTCACCTAAGCCAAGAGAACAGCTACACGAATACATTTTCCAGACTGACTGAAGTGCCAAAATAACTCAGAAGAGTCACCGAATATTCATAGACAATTGCAAATTTACATTCTGTGTTTACAGCACGTCCTTCGGAGTCCTGCTGCCTCCCTTCCTCCAAACCCAGGGAGGGGCTGGGACTATGAGATAAGTAAGCCAAGGAGGAGGTGTCTCTGTAGGACTCCCTCCTCCACTGCCAAGTGTTCTGCTGACCCGGGCACCCTCTCTGGGGCCTCAGTTTCTTTATCTGTAAAATGGGCAGGCAGCCGAGAGCTCTAGCACTCCTGGGGAGGACAGTCCTTCTTCTTCACAATGTGAGCCCCTACCTGGCTGACTGTCCCCTTAGCACCCCCAACACCATCATCTCTTAGACATGGAGTCACCCTGTAGTTCCCAAAGCACCCTCATTGACTGGCAATAATACTGGAGAATGTGTCCCCCAAACTGTACCCACTGATCTCAGTGTTAGCACCAGATCCTCTTGGCAGCACCATGCGGAAGGTACTAGATCTCTCATTTCCATTTCAGCGACAAAGGGGCTCAGACCTGGGGAGGTGATGTAAATGGCCCATAGTTCCCCAGCTACGGACATCTGACCCCAAAGCCCGTATCTGTTTTGCCCTTGTTCTGCTCACTTCACCCTCACGCCCCCAACAGACCTAGCATCCAGGATCTGGGATTTAGCAGGATGGAGGTGAAGCCAGGCCCCCGCCTGAAGGAGCTGCATCCCATGGGGGCAAGGAACCTAGTGATTATGTTAAACTGGGAGCACGAAGCCATAGCGTTGGTGCCACTTGGTCAGAGAGGCAGGTGTTAAAAGTCGCTTCATTTGGGTGTTGCAGGAGGAGTACGAGTCTGTGAGGCAGAGAAGGGAAGGAAGGAGCCGGTCAGGCAAAGGGTCCGGCATGATACAGAGGTATGAAAAGGTCATGTGTATTTGAAGATCAGGGAGAAGTTCAAAGTGGGGAAGCAGAGCATGCGAGTGTGTATTAGGCAGGGGTTGGGGGGAGGAGGGAGGAGACAGGGACGGACTTCTGTGCCTTCACGTGTGAGGCTTATCTGAATCCTCCTGACTGCCCTGAGAGGTGGGCGCTCTAGCCGCATTCTCCAGGTGTAGACATTGGCAAGAAGTGACTTGCAGGTGTCTAAGTGAGGCCTGGAGCCCAGGTTCCTGTCTCTAGGCTTGGCTGTTCCTTCTCAAGTCTCCAGACGTCTCGGGTCTTTCCAGGCACCGCACAAGGGCAGTGTGGAAGCTGTCTGTCTGCTGGGGCTGTGAGTCAGGGAGTGGAGGAGGCCCCATTCACCAGCGCAGCTGGGAGGCCAAGGGCAGCAGGGAGTCACCTCCAGCAGCTTTTAAAGGACAAAGGCCAAAGAGGCACAGAGAATTGCGCTTTTCAGAAGTACCAGCAAAACAGATGGTGGGAATACAGTTGGTGGAATATTTTTGCACTTTAATAAAGCAATTTTTATGTGGGCCACTGAATTTTCCTTCCATAAATGAGCACCAGCAGGCTTGGAGGCTGCTCTGAGTCACTTGCAAACAATTAAAGGAAGGTGCTGTAGTATGTGGTGGGGGGGCAGGGGGGCCATCACTGCTTGGGGTGAGCTGGCCGGCGAGGAGCCCCCTGTGGGGCTGGCAGGGGTAAGCAAGTCGGTGGTGGTGCTTGTTTTCACTCTCTGGGTTTGGCTGAGTGACCTCAGCCCTCTGCAAAGCGGGAAATGGAGAGCCAGGGTGTGGGATACGTAGGATGGAGGCACGGGGCATGGTGGGGAAGCTAGGATGCCGGTTCAGAGCAACCAGCGTGCAGTGGGGACCCCACAGAGGCCGTGAGCAGAAATGCTTTTTTATGAGCCCGGCTGCCCATCTGCACCAGAAGGAGCCGGCAAAGGCCAGGGTAGGCCAGAGCAGGAGTGGGACAAGGCCGGGAGCATCGTGGAGCAGGGGTGGGGAGGGTGGTGGTCAACGCCGCTTGTATGGGTGAAGATGAGGGCATTCTGCACGGCCGAGTGGGCCCTCTGGGAACCCCAGAGAATGAAACATCTGCCCAGTGAAGTCCCTGAGTTTTTACTGTAGGTACAAGGCAGCCCAGACCCTTGGGAGTGAGGAGAGCACATGAGGGGCGGAGAAGCTAGTCCTCTGACCTGGGCTCAGTGCGGAGATAAGCAGGACACGCACATGCCCAGGACACAGGTTGCCGAGGGGCACCCGTGCACAGCCGCCCACGTGTCTGTGTACAGTTCTCTCGCCACCCATTGCCGCGAAGCCAGCGGGGAGGCAGGGGATGAGTCGCAAAGGGAGGAAGGGAGCAGGGTCAGCTGGGGTGAGCGGGAGCATCGTGAGGGCTGGAAGGGCGGCTGTCTTCCCTCCAGAGACCCCCGGCTCCTCACACAGCCGTGTGCCCCACAGCTGTGGCTCAGTCATTTGGAACGACTAGGCAGGCCTTTCTTGTATTCGTGGGCTGGACATGCCCCGAGCATGTCACCCCGAGTGCCACGAAACAAACTGGTCAGGACCAAAAACCATCAAACTGTCCGTCGGGAGACTTGCTCAATGAATGACGAGCGTGCCACACAGTGAACTACCAGGCAGCACCAGAGGGAAACAAAGGAGGGGTGCCTGTGTGCAGAACGGCATCTCGGTTATATTGTTGAGGGGGGCGGGAAGCAAGTTTGGAAATAATGGGAAGAACATAATCATTTTCGTTGGAAACAAATCCCCGAGGCGTACTTACCTGTAACTGTGCTCCCATGCATCTTACATGTAATAAAGTTATATCACGGAGCATGGGCGTGGGAGCAGGCCACCCCCCCACCCCCCGCCCTCCACACTCCTGACCCCCTTACCCTGTTCTGCATTTCCTTTTCAATAGCGCTTAACATCTTATAACCTTTTATATATTTATGTAGTCATTATGTTTATTACATAGTGTATGTTTCCACTAGTTCCATTAGAAGGTAAGATCAATCATGGCAAGGATCTGTGTCTCATTAGGGTTCGGCACATAGCACATGCTCAGTAAATGCATGTTGATTAAATGAATCAAATGGTACTGGGAGAGGGTGAAGGGAGAAACATTTACTTTTCACTTAATATTCAAAAGATAATGGTGATATTAGGGGTTCTTTTTCCTTTCTTTGTAATGATGTTATAATTTCTAATTGTCCTATAATCAATATGTGTTATTCCTACAATCAGGAAAACCATTAAATCCTTCTAAGAACATTTGCAAGCACTGGTCTCCCTGGAAGGCCCCTGGTGGCCCTACCTGAGCCCAGCATAGCCTGGCTTCGGCTTGCCCTGCAGGGCTGAACAACCCCCTCTGATCTGCTTGTCCCCTCCAGCCTGGCTCTTGGCTACCCCCACTACCCCCAGCTCGGCTTTGGCTTCCCTCTCTAGGTTCCGTTTCTACCAGACCATTTGGTTATGTGGGTACCTGAACACACTCCCATCTCTGGGCCTTTGTTCAAGCCAGGCTAGCCCCTGGGATGCTCTCTTCTGCCACCCTCTGTGCCTTCTAAATCCCTACCATCCAGCTAGACCCCATACTAAGCCCATGTCCTTGGGAAAGCAGGACTATTTCTCCCGTGTTTGTCCTCACGCAGCCCCTGGGCCAATGTGATGGTGCGTCCAGATCTGCCTTGCCCCAGAATTTCTGTGTCCATCTGCCTTTTTCAGACTGTGAGCCTGGAGGGCAGGGAGTATCTCTTCTTTGTCCCATTTGTCTCTTTCCCACATCTCTCTGCATCTCATGGTTTCACTAGTCCCCTGTCTGCCTGTGTGCCCCATCCTCTCTCTTTCCTCAACCTTTCCTTTTGGCTGGCCTTTCCTTGTGGCTCCCTCTCTTCCCACCCCATTGGCGGCCCCTTCATCAATCAGGAAGGCTTGCCCTATGCTGGATCCATGAAGGAGACGCTCCTGGGTTGGGGACCTTGGAGCTGTGGGGATGGAGCCCACCTGCTCCTGGCTGTGTCCCTCCTCTTGGTCCTGCTGCCAGCTCAGCCGCCTCCGGGAGTCTCACTCCCAGGCCCAGGGCTGACCCATAGGGACCAGTCCCTGAGAGCAGCCTTCCTTCTGTGACTCTCTGGGAGTGGATCCTGGCAACGGATAGGAGCTTACAGGGGGACTCATGGAGCAGTTTGAGCTGGAGTTCAGAGCCAGAACAAATCCCCCGGCCTTGCAAGATATCGAGGATTGGCAGTCTGGAGGGGCTCCCAACCAGGGGCAGCATCTCTAATTTGTCCTGACACTGCTATGTGGAACCTCAATTTCCTTGTGTATACAATGGGGTGGGAGCTGCTGTCCAGCTGGATACTGGGTGAACATCCCACCAAGGATACCGCGGCTGTTACCCTGGTGATTGGATGGCCTTGCATGGGTCGCTTGGTAACTGAGGGGACATGGATGTCCAGGAAGAAAGAGGCAAAGCAGGAGGACCTTGGCTGGGTCCATGCAGAGCAGCTCTGGAAGGTCAAGCCCTTAACTTATGGTGGTCAGTGGTGACCAAGGAGTCGTGATCCAAATCCAGCCCTCTCTACTTTCTGGAGATGGGATTTGGGGCTGGTTACTTAGCCTGAGCCTCAGTTTTCTGACCTGTGTAAAGGGGTTATGATTTATCACATTGTGGTAAGAACTGCATGAAGTTTCTTGTGTGGAGTCCATTAGCCCAGAGCCTGGCACACAGTGCTCAAGGACAGTCAGCTACGGTGTTCGGTGAGAGAGGACTATGTATTCAAGTCTGTACTTCGCCAATGTAGCAAATGGCTACCGTAAAAGTGACAAATGCTTCAATAGGGAGCTGACCCATCCAGGGCGAAACAGCCCAAAAACATGCTCATAGAACCAGGCCCTGGGTCCCCTAAAACTTTATGCTTCTTTTCCAGACTGCATAAATATTATGTGTTTCTATAAAAGTTGGAACACACGCACAAAACATACGGAAGGAAATAAAAATCACACTGTTGGGTGGGTCTGAATTTGAACGTCAGTTCTGTCACCCATCGATCATGTGACCTTGGCAGGTTTCTTAACTGCTGTGATCTTCAGTTTTCCCATCTGTAAAATGGGGATAAGTAATGCCCGTCTCTCACGGGGTTGCGATCATGAAAGGACATAAGAGCAAAGTGCCTCCCAGAACGACTGAGAGTTACTAAGTTAGTCCAGCCACTCAGAATCACGTTCCTACTTCCTGCTTTTTCCATTGTCTGTATGATGTATAATATAATATTGTGTATAATATTAATATATACATGTATATTAACTTCAGACCATGTTGTCTACTCTTCCAATGTTAATATTCGATCTCCCCATGAGCTGCTAACACATGGGGCAGAATGTCTGACTTGGAGCCCAGGTATATTCGAGTCAGATGCTTTCTTAACCGTTGTGTTTTAATAAAGTGACTCTTGGCTCCTCCACACTTTTTCCAGGATTGCCCCTCCTCCCAAGAAGGCTCGTTAGACATTCCTACCCTCTCACACTATTCCCTCCCCAATGCATTTCTTTAAAAACGTTTGATGTTGAAATAATTCTAGATTCTCGGGAAGTTGCAAAGATAGTACAGAAAGGCCCTGTGTGCCTTTCACCCAGTTGCCCTCAAAGGTTAGAGCTGTGCCCCTGTAGCGTGATACCAAAACTGGGAAATCGACATTGGTACCGTGTGTAGTTTTATGTCATTTTATCACATGCGTGGATTTGTCTAACAACCATCACCAAAATCAAGACACAGGACTGCTCTATCACCCCAGAAACCTCCCTCAGGCTGTCCCTTTATGTGGCCTTACCCACCCCTGGCAACCACTGTTCTATTTTCTGTCTCTAATTAAAAAAAAAAAAATAAGACTTTATTTATTTATTTGAGAGGGAGAGAGAGAGCATGAGAATGGGGAGGATCAGAGGGAGAGGGAGAAGCAGACTCTCCACTGAGCAGAGAGCCCGAAGCGGGGCTCGATCCCGGACTCTGGGAACCGCCCAGGATGGTGACCTGAGCTGAAGGCAGGCGTTTAACCAACTGAGCCTTCCAGGCGCCCCTTTGTCTCTGTAATTTCATCATTTTGAGAATATTATATAAATGGAATCAACAGTATGGGCCTACTTTATGAGATGGGCCTCCCCACCCCCCCCACCTCCTTGTGATGCCCCGGAGAGCTAGTCAAGCTGCTGTGTGTATCAGCAGTTCCTCCTCCTTATTGCTGAGTAACATTCCTGGTGCGGATGGACACCGGTTTGTTGAACCGTAACCTATTACGGGGGCGCCCTCCGGGTGCTTTCAGTCTGGGCGGCTGCCGACAAAGTTACTGGAACAATCTTGCATAGATTTTATGTGACAGAAGTTTCTGTTCATCTGGGATAAATACCCCAGAGTGCAATGGCTGGGTCTTATAGTAGTTGTGGGTTTGGTTTTTTCTTTTTAAAGAAACCGCCAAACTGTTTTGCAGAGTGGCTGTACCGTGTTGCTTTCCCACCAGAAATGCACCGGCGAGTGCATTTCTTCGCACCCTCACGGGCATGTGGTGTTATCGCTATTTTTGGTAGCTGTTCTGATAGGTGTGTGGTGATGGCTCATGCATATGACAGGTGTACGGGATCACTGTTCACGTGCTGTCTATCTTAAGCCTATAAACACAGAGTACGATTTGCTTGCTTCCCTTCTCCAGACAGGAACCAATTCCAGCTAAGGGAAGGCACCAGTGGTTTGGGGAGGCTTTAATCACCAAGCTGGCCCCAAGAGGCCAAGACCACAGCTGGTGTGGACGAGTCTGCAGGGCAATGTTCCAACAAGGCCCCAGTCTTGGACTCAGGGATGATTAAATACTCTGACCCGAAGGTGAACGAATTCAACAGAGGACTGCAGTGGGGGTCCATGCAAAGGGCAGGGCATGGAAACCTCCCTCTGGAGTTCAGGTTCATTTCGGAGCAGGGTTGCCTGCATGGCTGGTGTCCGCTGCAGCCTCGCCGGACCTGGATGTACCATACACTGGCAGTCCTCCGTTCCCAAGCATGCTTCAGGACACACTTTCAGGAGCCCACCACCATCTGGGCGCGACAGCCCATTGCCTGCCCCGTCCCCCGCCCTGACTCACCTAAGCCAAAGTGCGCCACGGGCTCCATCTCACACAGGTAGCCCGAACCCCCGTCGATAATCCTCAGGTGGGCCCCGCTCTTCTTGGTGTAGAGCACGACCTTAGCTCCCCGGGCGAAGGCCCCGAATCGGGTCCGAGGTACCACTCGCAGCCAGTTGTTGCTGAAGCCCTGCAGGGAGGGAGGAAGGCAGGTGAGTATCAGGGGGTGGGGGGCAGGGAGGAAGGAAGGGGAGGGAAGGAAGGGGGGGCAGACGGAAGAGAGAAGGAAGGTGAACGAGGCACACAGGTGGGCTGAAGTTTGGAAAGAGAGGAACTGGAAAAATGAGGGGAAAGCCAAGAGGCTCAGGAAAAGCAGTTTTTGGAGAAGTGCTGGTGGACAGCGGAGGGGCCAAGAGCTTCTCCCATGAGGGACCCCTTCTTGGAGTCTTACTGTGTGTGGCTGCGATTTATTTCCTGGGTTTCTATTTCCCACCATGCTGGGCAAGCAAGTATCCCCAGGGCCTCTGCCCTCGTCCACCTTAGACCCAGAGGAGCACATGGGGTTGCACTCCACGGGCCCCGGGGCGCATGCGCACCTGGTTCCCCCGGAAGACAGACAGCGGCTGAGCCATGGACTCCCCATGGGACAAGATGAGGTCCAGCATCCCGTCTCCATCGAAGTCTGTCACCACACCCCCTGCAACAAGGCAGATTTCACTCTGGCCATCGGCCAGGAGACCCAAGAGGGAGAGGGGCTCCCGACCACTGCCCAGTCGTGCACGTGCCCCCCTGGGGGGTAGGGGGAAGCTGAGAGCACAGCATTGGGGCAGGAGTTGGGGGGAGGGGGGAGCCTCTGTCCTCGGATTTCTCACAGCCGGCTCATGACAAGAGATCATGAAAGGGGCTCCCTTTCCTTTCCCTGAACTTTGCATGGAGACAGTGGGTGCCAACCGCTCAGACCATGAGGACTTCTTCCTCATCTATCACACACGCCCTTTGCCTTTGTAGCTGTTGTCCATATGTCATGTCTGCACATTCATGGGCTCTTGTGGGTCCTCACTACCACACACAGAGGTAAGGAGGGCAGATGGCATTATCCCTTCCATGCATGTGCAGGGTAGGACCCACAAGGTGAAGCACCTCTTCCAAGACCACAAGTGAGGCAGTGGCAGGACCGAGGCTTGGGACTCCTGTTCCAGTGCTCTTTCTCTGACACCAGGCTGAATACCAGGAGGGGAAGGGTCAGACTGCAGGACCCGCAGCCTCTCCTTTCTATCCCTACCTGGCACCAGAGAACCTACCGTCCATGGATTTCCAGAACCCCACACGGATCGTTGGTTTCCCTGCTTCCAGCCCAAGGCTCCCAGGGGCTCACCCAACCCTTGGGTATCAGCCTTCAGCATGGCAGGGAAGGTGGGGTCCTGCGCCCTAGGGAGCTGGCAGCCCTAGCTCTCTTGCCCTCATCCCGTGCCTGGGCAGAGCAGAGACAGAGGAGGGAAGGCTGGAGCCCCCAGGTACCCTCACCTGTGCCCCGACCCTCAGGCTCTAAGGCATCACCGGGATTGAGCTCCTCGATGAGGGGGTCGCCGTGTTCCCTGCGAATGACCCTGCAGGAGAGGAGACAGGTTGTTCCCGGATGACTAGCATCCCGGCATGGCACCCGCGGGCCCCCTGAACCCAGAGGTCCACTTGCTCCCGTCTCTGTCCCCTGAGCAGCCCCGGGGCCCCACGTGGACACCTACTGAGCCACCATCTGCTCACAGAGCTTGCCTACACACTGCCTGTTCCCTTCCTGGGTTTTAATTTACGTTGGTAAATATTGATTTTTCTTTCTCTAATGGATGAGTTATAGACAGCCTGGGGAAGGGCAGTTGATAGATGGAGAAGGGGCAGGGACGCAGCTACCTTCAACTGACCTTCCCCTTCCTTCAAGTGGCCCTGGGCTTCTGAGTTCTGGGTGTAACCAGGATTCAAACCGCTCAGATGCCACCTCCTCCAAGCCCTCCCTGACGATCCTGTGGGAAGCAGGGCCTTCCTGCTCGGCCTTTGTCACTTCCTGCCTTGTGGTAAAGCTCTGAGCGAGTGCCTCTTCTCTCTCCAGTTGGATGGGAGCTCTTCACAGGCTGGGACCACGTGTCTCGCATTTTCTCGGGCACCTGGCACAGCGCGTGGCCCCCCTAGGAAGCTCTGCGCGCATGTCTGCAGGAGGCGAAGATGAAGTCCAGCAGCAAAGAGGGCAGAAACGGGTCCCTTTGGGCTGCAGGGGCTCTATTTTAAGCTCTGAATCACGGCAATACTTGCTTCAGAAAAGCCCACTGTGAGCGTCTTGCTCTGTCTCCGCACCGAGCTCAATGCTGATGACGGTGGCGAGCTTCCCCCGATTTTTCTCACTCGTTAGATTCTTACAGCCTTGGCTGCTCTGGCCAAGTGGAGCAATACTGGGGGAGCCAGGGGGCTAGGAGGGATCTGATTTCTACCCCCGTGACACTGCCGATGGCTCTTGTCTGCCCAAGTCACAGAGTCACCAGCAGGCTGAGCTGTGGCCATTGACTTCGGGTGGGGAGGCAGGGGTCCCCTGAGCTAGAGCCTGTGGTGGCCAGAGGGCAGGGTGCAGGGGGTCTGCCGTGGCGAGCAGCAGCCCTGGGAGAGCCGTCTGTCGGCCCCAGGCATCTGTGCTGAGCTCACCCACGGGTGTGGACCGGGCGGAGGGCCGTGTGCCTGGGTGCACTCCGGCATGTGAGCTACGTGTGCCTTGGCCTGCCAACAACCACAGTCCCTTTGACCTCCTGTGTACTGCAGGCTCTGCCACAGCTGGGTTCAGGTTCAGGTGACAGTGCAGTTAAGGGTTCCTAAGGACAAAGCCCAGCAGTTCCACTGCATCGACGTATTTGCCCATCAAATTCTTCGGCAGTGACTTCTGTGTGCTGTCTAGCATGTGGGGGGCTGCGGCTGTGGTGTGTGTCAGGGAGGACGGAGCTCAGGGTCCATGACCGCAGGGAGTCTCAGGCAGAGCTCCGAACGCCAACAGGGAGAGAGAGGCTGAGGGGATGGAGAGCTGGGCAAGCCCACTCGGGCTTCGGGCTTCCTGGAGGAAGGGCCGACTAAGCTGAGCCCGGAGGATGAGTGTGGTCACTCAGAGGAAGAGGGAGGAGCAAGGGGCAGAGGGGGCGGCCTGCCTGAGGGTCCATGCCGGGTACAGCCCAGAACTGAAGAGAGGGACGGTGTCAGAAGCTCAGCTGTAAACGGAGAAATGGAGTGTGACCAGGTGGGGGACAAAGCGGGGGTGTGGGATGAGTCTAAGAGAAGGCAGTGGGGGGCTTCCAAAGGTTTCAAGTGGAAAAGGGGTGTAGCCAGATTTGCATTTTCAAACACCTTGCTGAAGGCTTGTGTAGGAATCCCCTTCAGAGCCAGAGACAGGAGCTAGGGAGCGGCATAGGGGTGAAGAGAGGAGAACGGAGCAGAGGCTGGTGTCAAGGTCAGCGGTGTGACCGTCGAATCCCAGCTGGCCTGGGAGAGTCCGTGTTGGCCCTCCGGCCCGCCATTATCAACAGGACCCCTTATGCTAACTAAGCATCTGGTTTGGTGATGAAATCCTTGGTTACCTCACTCCTCATTGCAAGATCGCAGGCTCAAGCACACGGAGGCTTTGAGTCCCCAGCATCTCCCACGAGGAACCTGCCGTGTTCCATTCAGTGACAGAGATAGGTGGGGCCAAACCTGCAGGGTGGCCACCGGAGCAACGGCTGGGACTGTAGCCCCTCGCACTCCGGGCCGTGGGCTCGGGACCCATCTGGCACTGGGACTTGGAGCACAGTCGTGTGCCTGGGAAGGGCTCACGCTACGGCTGCGTGGAGGCCAAGACACTAACCCATGGGACCACTATAGGATGACCCTGTCCTCGTCCATGGCAGCCCCGGGCCAGCCTGCCCTCCGGGTGGCCAGAGGGAGGCTGGGTAGTGTGACAGAGCCAGGTGGGCAGGCCGACGGGGGAGGGACCCAGGCCACAGTGATGAGATCACTAGACTCCCTTGTGCTCAGCGGCCCTGGCGAGTGACACTTTATTAGCCAGAGAAGGAAAGTAGTATCTCTGTTAACGAGCAATTGATCTTCCGCAATTAATCTGGAAGTTGTGAATAAGCTTTTTCCAAGGCGCCTAATTAGTAAACCTGGTGCCTTTGGGGGGTGATTACTTCCAGTCAGGATTGATGCTTTGTTAATAATCATATTTTAAAACATGCTTAGTCACAGCTCTTGCCTTTTATTAATAGTTGGGCCCCCTCCTGGGGTAGAGGATGGGGGGCTCTGCAGAGCTGAGCCAGGTGACCGGGCCCATTTCCTGAATCCAAGGCCCCTTGCTCCCCTGCCTCCTCTCCCCACCGGCTCCTGAGCCCCACAACCAGGAACAGGGTTGTCTCAGACCACATGGGGCCTGAGGTTCCCCAACAGCAGTTCTCAAGCTTTTGGTGTCATTAAGAGTCACCTGATGCCCAGTGCACTTGTTAAAAACAGAGGTTTCTGGGCCTCACCCTGGAGATTCTGATTCAGGAGATCTGTGCGGACCCCAGAATGCTGTACTTTAAATAAGCACTTTGGGTGATTCTGATGCAATGGTCTCTGGGCCCCTCTTAGAGAAGTATTGCCTTCGAACTTCCAACCTTTCCTCCCCAGATGTAGGTGCTTGCAGATTCCTTCCACCTGTCAATCCCTTTTCCTGGTCTACCATTGATCGTCTCATCCAGCATTTCCCAAGGGATTTTTGTGGAGTACCAGTCCCAAGAATAAAATCTTCGAAAGAGGTGTCCTGTGGTCAAATCTGTTTGGAATACTCCATCTCCCTTTCAGAAATTAAAAACACTCATGCTCGTGTTAAAGGGTCTGAGAAGTCCTGCAGCCAGTAAATCTGCCTGTCTTTGCTAACCCCAGGCGCACCCAAACAAACTTGACTCTGTAACTCCTTTTTGTGGTGACGTGGATTTCTCTCCCGTAGAGCTTGGGTTCTGGGCACACATTGGGCCATGTCCCTCTGCCTGTTCCCCCACAACAGCAGGAGGCTGGCTTCCTGCCCCCGATCTGCCCTTCATTCCACAGCCTCTTGCTCAGTCTCTCCTTCCCTCCTCTCTGTTCCTTCATCAGGGGACCATCGGGAATCGGCCCTAGGAACTCCCCTCTGAATCCTATACCTTGCTCCCGACTCCCAGCCCCCGAGATCGAGAAGTCACTGCCAGGCTGCAGTGCCTACCGGAAGAGACGGTTGGCTGAGGAGCTGCGGTGGGCAAAGTTGTTGAAGAAGATCTCCAGCTCCTGGTCATTGTCAAAGTCAGCGGCGATGACGGTACGGACCGGGGATGGCATGGAAAATTTGGGCGAGGCGATGTCCTGACGGAGGAGAGGGTGCAGGTCAGCAGACAGAGGTGTGTGTGTGTGTGTGTGTGTGTGTGTGTGTGTGTGTGCGTGCGTGCGCAATCCAAGAGAAGAGACAGCCCACCTAACACCTCCTCTCTCACCTCCCCTGGAAGGGACCTGTGGTGGTAGCACCCAGGACCACAAAGACCCTGGGCTGCTTGTAGGACAAGGAGGTGAGAGGAACAGTCCCAGTTCCCACCAGCAGAGCACCTGGCTGTTCCCTGGTCAGGGTCACACGAAGCCCTCCCATTGAGGTGGGGTAGATATCAGCATTCCCATTTTACAGGCAAGGTGATGGTGTCCTGGGGGAGGGAGGGGAATCACCCATGGTCATGGCTAATGATGGGGCGGTAGCCGGGGCTTCTGACCCAAGATGCTATGTCCCTTCCTCCTCTGCAGGAGAGTCAGAAGAGGGGGCTGGGGGGTGGGGGATGCTGGAAAGTGCTCTGCACTTGAATCCTGGCTTCTCTCCTGACCAGCCATGTGATCTTAGGCAAGTCGTTAACCTCTCAGGTCTCACTCTCTCCGTCAGTAACATGGGGCTAGGAATAGTGTGGCTAAGGCTGTGAGCACTGCGCGAAAAATGCCTGGCAAGCACTGGGCATGAACCAGATCCTTGGCACCAGTCCTGGCCTTGCTCGTGCCATCAGTCCCATGGAAGGCAGGAGAGGGCTTCTAGCTGTGTTTCTGCTGTTATCTTAAGTTTTTTTCCTGGAAGTCTTTCAATTTTTTTGAGACCCTTGCTTTAGGGGTTTGTAGTATCAGATACACTTGTCTGGGGTTCACGGGGAGACCCCAGGCCCAGGAGAGCCCAGCTTGGACCTCGAAGTGCTGACACAGCCTTGGAGGACCCGGCAAAGGGTCCCAGGGGTGGGATTTCCTTTTGAAAAAGAAGAAGAGGCGTAGAGAGCAACCTTCTGATTATAAGAATATTCATCACAGATACTTTTGTCTCTTAAAGATTCTAGCAGCCTGTCTGGCTCTCAGGGCCCACCTGGAAAGGGTTGGGAAGGGACAGTTCATGTTTCCGGGAGTGCCCCTCTTGCCCACTGGCCTGGCCCTGCTCCTTGGCCGCTCACTGCAGGTCCCCCCTCCAACCAATGCAGGAAGGAGCCATCTGGGACAGCTGGCGAGCTGCCTGTTCTGGGGAACCCAGGAGGGAGATTGTCCCCATCAGCATGGTAATGAGGCTGATTAAGAGCCTGGCCACTTGGCCAGGGTGGGCTGAGCAGGGCCTTATGAGCTGGAGAGAAAGGGACCTCAGGATCTCTAAGTCATTATTATTCTATTGATCCTATAAAAATGGAAACCTACATAGCTCCCTTGGGGTTCCCCCTGGACACCCGGGCTTCTGAGATAATGTATGTAAAGCGCTTAGCACAGTTCCTGGCACATGGAAGGCACCTGATACATGGGGCGTCTACTATCATTGTTTTTGCTCCTGTGAGCTCTGGGGAGGGGCCACCAGGAGGCCGGGCCGTGTTCCTCAACCACAGCACACTGATGTTTGGGCCTGGATCATTCCTGACTGGGGGGCTGTCCTGTGCGTTACAGAACATTTGGCAGTACCCCTGGCCTCCACCCACTAGATGCCAGTCACACCCCTTTCCCATTTGTGACAACCAAAAAGTGTCACAGACACTGTCCTCAGACAATGTCAAATGTCCAGGGGAGAAAATGACCCCTGGTGGAGAACCTGAGTTAAGACAAAAAGCTGGCGGGGGGCGGGCGGCGGGGGGGCGTTGCGCCTGGGTGGCTCAGTCAGTTGAGCATCTGACTCTTGGTTTTTGCTCAGGTCATGATCTCACGGATCATAGGATCGAGCCCCACATGGAGCTCTGCGTCTGCTTCTGCGCTCAGTGGGGAGTCTGCTTGAGGATTCTGTCCCTCTGCCTTCCCCCAGCTTGTGCGTGTGTATGCCCTCTCTCTCTGTCTCTAAAATAAATAAATCTTAAAAAATAACAAAAAGCTAAATAAGGATGAAAATCATCCTGGATCCCGAGATCAACTGCTTGAGTTCAGGGCAGGCCTTCTTCTCACCCAGAGAGCCCGGGTCTCATGGGAGGGAGCCGCTGGGCCTGAGCGTCCCCAGGCGGCTGCTACAAGGGACGAAGCTTGCGGCGGTGACCCAGACAGAAGGGTCCCAGCGACTCCCCTGGGACCATGAAGCATCGGGAAAATTCTCACTCCCAGAGGGGACTTTGGCAAGACCTAGGTACCTCCAGAACCCTCCAGACTCACTGAGATCAGTTTCAACCATCCTATGAGAGCTCCAGGAGAAAGCTCCAAACTCCAGCTCACCAGGGGGTGGCACCCAACAGTCCCTTTGAAGAATTCTTGGCATCACAGTCTATGACAGCTCAGGGAGGGGACACAGACAGGGACTGGAGGTGCCCGCCACCTGCCATTTGTCTTCAGGGGCCATGGGGGCTCCGGAGCCTGAGTGTTCCGCGTGTCCCTCTCTTGCCCACCGCATCCTTAGCCAGAACTTAAACTTGAAAAGATCAGGTTTTCCAGGAGCCACCTGGAAAACTACTGCCAATCCAGGAACGAAGCCCAGAGCCTTCATTGCCCTGTTCCTGCCCACTGTGGGATGTTACTCTCCCTCCTCTGCCAGTGGCTCTCCCTGCCCCGGGCACTAGAGAGGGTATGAAGCCCAGGCTGGACTCCATCGTCTTCCCCTACGATGTTGCCTTCACTGTGGCTGTCCTGCCTCCAGGCCCTGCAGAGCCACAAGCCCCTTCTCAGCCTGGGGGGAGGCACAGGCAAGGTGGCATCCCTAGGACATGCCAGGGCTGCACGCAGTGCTGTGGGGATGGGTGGGAGGGGGCGGGGCGGGAGGGCGAGGTCCCTTCTTACCCGAAAGCGGACCTTCCCATGGGCACTCATCTGCAGGTAGAGCCGGTGGGGGCCATTCCAGTTGCCGTAGACAATATCCACTTTGCCATCGCGGTTGAAGTCGGCTAGGGCGACACCTCGCCCATGCTGGTGGGGGTCGTCCACACCTGGGGAGGAACGACAGGGACCCTCAGGGCTGCACCCCCTGCAGGCCCTAAAAACGCTCGCCTTGCTAGAGCTCCTTGGAGAGACACAGGGATGGTGATCCTTGTGCTGACCCTGCCCTCCCAGGGGGCAGACGGGGAGCCCCAGCCGCCAGCTCAGAATTTCTCCCTGGGGGCAGGAGGTGGGACAGCCGTGTGGTTGCAAAGGGAATCAGACTTGCCTTCAGCGGCATCCGCCCAGCAAGCACACAATTTTCACTCAGTTTGGGGGTAGCATGGGTCGGGGAAGGGGACATGCAAAGTCTGGAGGACCAAAGGCCCCTCCAGCCACTCCAACGCTGCCACTGGGGTATAGTAAGTTGGTCATCACCCGTTGGCTTAAATCTCTCAGTAGCTCCCCAGTCTTGTTGGGTCAAGTTCAAGTGCCTGGGGAGCACAAGGCCCCCACCCACCCTATCTGGTCTTGATCTGGTACCCCTTCCCCTCCCCCCCCTTACTCATAAACTCTGGCGACCTGTGCTCCTGTCATTCCTCAAATGAGCCCTGCCCTTTCTGGCTTCTGGGCCTTTGCTCAAGCGTGTTGCTGCTCCTGGAATGCTCTTCGCCTGGCTATTGGTTACCTGGTTCCTTGTTTTTCTTCTGCTCTCAGCTACTTTGTCACCTCCTCAGGGAAGCCTTCCCTGACCACTCCCATGAAAACAGCTCCTCCCAGCTACTTTGGTATTTGTCTTGACAGCCTCTCATTCTTTCCCTCCACTGTGCTGATCACAGCGACCATCGGGTTCCTTTGTGGTTTATCTGCTTAGTGTCCGTTTCCCCACAAGACCTTATACTCCATGAGGTCAGGGGCTGTCTTCTTGTTCACCTGTATTCACGCAGCATCTGACCGGTAGTTTTCAGTAAATACTTGCCGAATGAATGAAGAGACATAAATAATTTGACAGAAGGCTTCTGGGGATGTTGGTGACAGCAGAGGAAATGCCACATCATAACACAGAAACCCACAGCGTGCCTTGGGAGCTTGGGGAAGAGAAGCCTGTGTGTCCAGTGTTGCTGGCTTCTGCTGTCCCTGCATCTGCCAGTGTCCACTGAGCTGACCCTGGTGGAGGACAGGGGCTGGCTTTGCCTAGAGGGATGGCTTGACCTCCCGGCTGCCCGAGGCAGATATGTTCCGTCAGGCCAAGCGTGGAGCTGAGAGGTGCTGGGTGCTAGTTCTCAATACCCATGCTGACTCTCTCAGAGGACAAATTGCCGTTGGTCAGTGGGCCCTCAGAGATGGGGTGGGCGATAGGACAAGATAATGGAGGGGAGAATCACAGAATCCAGGGTCCAGGGAGCTCTTGCCAGCGGCAACCACAGAACTCCCAGGGATGGGAGCCAGCAGAAGGTGCGAGTGGGGCCCCCTGAGCACCTTGGATGCTGAGTACCCTCTCGGGGGAGGGAAGGATCTGGACAATGGGTGGGAGATGTGGGGAGAAGAGGCAGTGTGCCCTAGGCTTGAGGAAGAGGCTTTTCCAAGGAGGGGGCAGCCTCTAATCTCTAGGATTAATACCCCATTAATTCTCTACAAAACTCCCCAGCCCAAATGTCGGTGGCCTTCTGTGTTGGCCCATTTCTCTCCTATCTACGAGGCACCTTGACAAGGAGCTGGTTCCTTTTCACGGGAATAATTGGTGGCAGGCCGCATTTCACAGCAGCATCTGTTTGGGTGATGAATGCCCTCTTGACATGTCTTGTTAAACCCCTGCAATCATTCTGACTTTCAATTACGGGCCTAGCACCTTTCCTCTCTCCTCCCGCCAGATACCTTCTCCCACTCCAACTTGCTCACTCATCTCTGCTCCCATCTCTTTAACACCTTATCAAACCCTCTAGGTTTACTCCACCACCACCTCCCCTTCATTTTATGATTTTTCAGCAATGAGAAAATTTGCTGCCAGAGTATATAGCCCTGTGTGTGTGTGTGTGTGTGTGTGTGTGTGCGCGTGTGCATGCCAGGTGGGAGGACAGGCCAGGGGAGCTGTCTCCAGCTCTAGCTCTGCCCAGGAAGGAGGAGAGGGAAAGACACAAGGCAAGTGGATAGGCTCTAAGCGGAGGGATGGTGCTGGAAGTGAGCACTCTCAAGCAGAGAGCTGGGGGATTACGATCTTGTAAGTCAGGGAGGATGGACTGGCAGACACTCAGGGATTTGATGCTCGCTGTCGGCACTAGCTGGAGCTTGTAGGACCTTTGATCTATGTGTCTAATCCCCGCTCACCTCTTCTTCTGGAGGGTAGCGCTCGCCTCTGTGCTGCCCTGAGAGGGGCGAAATCAACCCTTTCATTGGCAAGGTGGGGAGGAAGTGGGTGGAGAGAAGTGGTCAAAGGGTGGACTGATTAACACCCACAAACTTTCATTAAGTGTCCCTTCCACCATTCAGCAAGATTTACTTGGTGACTGTGGTGTGTCAAGAATGAACAGTACAGCGCCCTGTCCTTGTAGACCTAGATTATTCTAGCAACGTAGAAACCTGATCGAGATGTGCGTGTAAGGGCAGTGTGAATGCAGATGAGGAAGTGTGAGTCTCTGCCAGGCGGCCCAGGGGGAGGTAGGAAGGGCTTCATAGAGCTGAGTGCTGAATGATAAATAGAATTTCTGCAGAAGGAGAAAAGGGAGAAGGCACTTTCTAGCAGAGAGAATGGCAGGTGCAAAGGCCCTGAGGCAGATGAGGGATAAGCACAAAAGGAGGAAGGGGAGCAGAGCTGGGAGCCTAAAGTACTATTTTGTGTGGATTTTAGTCCCCTTACTTAGCTATTTGTTTGTTCATCGTGCCTGTGTGCATATGTGTGGCAGGTAGGGTAGGATGGTACAACCTTCCTGGGATCAGAATCCCCAGCTCTAAGTACCACCTGGCACTTAGCAGGTGCTCCATAAATGGTTATTGGATTGAATTTAGTGATTAAGGTGAATGTGGGGAGGGGAACTGGAAAGAGGTGGCTTGGAGGGGAAATTAATGCTGAAGACTCAAGCAGGACTCAGAGGAACACGGGCCAAATCTAGTTGCTGGAAAATGGATAATGGTCAGGAGTTCCAGGCACCCCCTCTCCCCAGCAGCACACATCCCCTGTGGCCGGAGCCTTGGGGGATACAGAATGGAAGGTGACAATGTTTCCCTGCACAGTGGGCATGCTTCCTGGTCCCGGTCTCCCTGAGGCCAGCATCCGAGGGTCTGGGGCAGTGAGGGACCCAGGGCAGGGGCCACACTCACCGGCACTGGTAGCAGCATCCACGAAGGTGCCATCACCCTGGTTGTGGAAGAGGAAGTTGGGCCCATTCTCATTGTCACAGAAGATGTCTGAGGCACTGCTGCTGAGGATAGGACCCACGCTGACACCGCGGCCCCCTAGGAGAGGACAGCAACCCACAGTGAATGGCAGAAGCAGAGCCTCAGGCCTGCGAGGAGGATGGGTGGGCCTCAGAGGCCTTTGAGAAGCCGCTGTGGCGAGGCCTCTGAAGATCTTTGGGGACAGGGGAATGCTTCTCTGAGCCCAGATCTGGGCTCAAAGTCCTGTTAACATGTGTAGAGGATGACGCAAGGAAGGATAAGGCTAGGGAGGGGCAAGACGGTGTCACTTTGTGCCCAAGTCATGACCCCATGACCTACGGAACACAGAGGCCATCCTACAGATCCCTCCCTTCCCTTCAGAAGCTGACTCACAACGATCCCCCAGCCCAGATCTATCCACCACATTTTTTAAAAAAGATTTTATTTATTTATTTGACAGACAGAGATCACAAGTAAGCAGAGAGGCAGGCAGAGAGAGAGAGGAAGGGAAGCAGGCTCCCTGCTGAGCAGAGAGCCCCACGTGGGGCTCGATCCCAGGACCCTGGGATCATGACCCGAGCCGAAGGGAGAGGCTCAACCCACTGAGCCACCCAGGCGCCCCTACCCACCACATTTTGATCAAGTCACAGATTTTCCTGACAACCCCCACCCCCACCTCGAGTCATCTGTATGCCAGTCAAGACACCAGGTGTGCTCCTGGCCCAAGAACACAGGGGACTAGGTTCTGGCTAAGGCTGCAGGATACTTTCTTGACTTTGCTTGGTATAGTAAGCAACCGGGAACAACCTGTAAGTCCACCAACAACGATGGGCTGAATGGACCGTTCTGCAGCCGCTGAAAAGACTGTGCAGATCCATATGTGTTGGCTTGGAGGAGGGCCCATGACATACTGTTAAGTGAAAAAGCAATTCACCAAGTAATGGTATTACGTCATCTTAGTTTTATTTAAAAAAAAAAAAAAAAGAAAGAAAACACATGATATTTCTGGATGTGTTCATGCAAGCTTGTCCTTGAGTTTGGGGGAAGTGGGAAAGGCCACGCCCTGCGTTGTTAACCCCAGGCTGCCAGATGGGGTGGGATTCAGGGAGGGAAGAAGAGACAGGAGATAGCCTTTTTTGGGAATGTCTTTGTGTTGTTTGGCTTGTTGTAACAAAATCGCTTCTGCAGTTGGAAAGGGAAAAATCCAATAATTCCATACTTTTTAAAAAGGAGGAAGTCAAGCCAGCTCTACATTAGGGTTTGATGTCTCCAAGATCAAATTTGAGCTCCCTGTGTCAACGAGTCCAATATGAAGACATCTGGGTTTTGAATCAAGCCCCGGAAGCCACAGCCCCGGTCCCTGGGAATACTGGGCAGAAGACAGTCTGACCAGGACAGGACATGGATTCTAGTCCCAGCACGGCTGTTTATAAGCTGTGTGACCTTGGGCAATTTATGGTATGCTTTGAGCCTCAGTTTCCTCAACTGTAAAACAGGAGTAGCATGACCTGCTTTTTCTATTTTAGGATCTTTATGAGGATCACATGAGGTGAGACACATGAACGGGGTTTGTGAACCCTACCATCCTGTTACTCAGAGTGAGGTCCGTGGGCCCACCACGGGGGGCGGGGGCAAGCTTGTTAGGCAGAATCCCAGCCCCTCCCGGCCCCCCTGCCAGTCAGTACCTCTATTCTAGCAGGACCCTTGGGTGGCTATGTGCCCAGTAAAGTTTGAAAGGTGTGGCTCTAACAGGCTGTTCAGTACAATAAGAATAGTTATCAGAAAACTCAGAAGAACTTACTGTTGTCATTTGTTAAATAAGTGGGAGCTCAGGCAGACCTGAGTGATGTTGGGCGCCCCACCCCGCACCCCCATCAACTGCCTGCCTGGCTCTGGCTGGGGAAGAGGTTTCCCGGACTCCTCCTGCCTTCTGGGAAAGGTCCCTGGAGGAAATCATGGGGCCTTTCTCACCTGTGCAATGCAGCCTGTCTCCCAGGTCAGGAGTCAGGGGCCAGGAGAGGGGATGGGTCCAACGGCAATGCCACTCCCCTTTCTCTTGTGGTTGAGCTCCAGAGGAACACAGGTAATCTAATTAGCTCTCCAGGAGAGCCCAAGCCTCCTGAAAACGGAGTCACTCAATCCACAGTAATCCTGGGTCATCACCTAAGACGGAGTCACTCAATCCACAGCATCACCTAAGACGGGGCGTGCAGTTTTCATTAGGAGAGCCACAGTGTGGGGCGGGGAGGCTTCCGGATGCCTTTCCTAAGGCCAGCAGGGAGGGCTGCTGAGCTGTAACCTGGGCCCCACGTAGGCCCATTCAGAGAGGAGCCCTGGAGTGGTTGCTGACAGCTGTTCCCTGCCCCCATCCTGCCAGATTCCAAACCAGGGACAGGCTTCGGTGAGGAACCCCGGGCCTTGCCTGGGCCCCCGGAAATTCCAGGTGGGGCTGTGGGACTTGCCACCATGCAACTCCATCCTTCCTCCCCACTCTGGTGTCCTCCAATTTCCTCTCTGCTTCTGGTTCTCAAGCTGTGACACATTCTCTTCATTTTCTACAAAGCAGGTTATTTCCCTCTTGGACAAATTTCTAAATCTTTCTAATTAACTAATTGGGTTGGGTTGAAGCCTTGTACCATTTGTAACCTGTAATTATTAGAAAATTGCCATGGTAACTACACTACTAATTAGTGACAATTTATTGCCATGGCAACCGGACCATAACAGAGACGTTACCCACGACTCCCTCTTGGCAAGTTCTCCGCCCAGTTGGGGAGCAGGTGATCGACAGTCAGGGAGCCAGCCCCTTGGGCAGCGGCCCCAGGAGCCTCAGGATGGAGAGCCCAGTTTGGGGCTGAGGCAGGGGCTGCCTGATGTCTGTGCCCCTCGCTGCGCTGCGGAGGTGCATTCCCAGGTGGAGCATGTAAATCTTCTCCAAACCAGTAACATCCATCCACCCTGCAGGGTCCATGACAGAGGTTCCCGATTCTGTCTCTTCTCCCTGACGTTCTCCCCTCCCCCAACTCTCTCCCTCCTGAGGTTGAGCCCACACCTTCTGGGGTCACCCAAGGGGCAGTGAGGAACTGCCTCAGAGGACGATGTCCCAGTAGGGAGTGAGATTCTACTTTACATCAATTCGTTCTTCTGTATCTGCTGTGGCCCATGCTCTTGGGGACAAGCAGCTCCCCAGCTAGGGCTGGAGGGGCAGCCCTGGTGATGGGAAAGAAGACCGGATCAGAAAGTGTTCATGTGACCTTGGGCACATCAGTGGACCTTTCTGGGCCTCGGTTTTCTCACTGCTAATGGGAGGCTGATCGTAACAACAGCTTCTTCTCATAAACTGTCATAAATATTAAGTGAGCTGGTTTTCGGAAGGTACTTGGAAAATGTCAGGTGCCACACAGTCATTAGCTGGGACGATTTCCCACCTGCTAGGTGAATAAAATCTCATTTCCCCAGCACTTGCAGGCTTCTAAGGCCTCCTTTTTCTGCTATTGGGTGCAAACGCAGCTCCCTGCCCAGCCCCGCCTGAAGGCTTCTCACTCTGCCCATGAAGCTGGGTGGGAGAGGTGGAGCCACTGGGGAAAAAGCCTTCCCCTGCCACATTCTGGCAGCCCCTCTGATTATCCGCCCAGTGGTCCTGAGTCCCACGGGGTAACCTCATTTACCCTCAAAAACTGTACCGCTAAACCCTCGAACCCTTGCACTCTGGTGAGGTGGACCCAAGTCCGGTTTAGGTACAGGTGATCCATTTCTCAGATGGCATCTAGGCGGCCCTGGGGTGGTCAGCTGCCAAGCTGGATTGTATCTGAGAGCCGGAGGGAGTAGGGGTGACGATGGGAAAGGGAGGCTGCATGGAATAGCGCAGGGGGGCGGGTGTGCTGCTGGGGGCCGGAGGACCCAGGCACGAGGAGGCAGGAGTATTTGCCATGCTAAGGAAGAGCCTCTAGGTCCTTGCTTGGCCTCCGCGCCTGCTCTGGCTAAAGGAACTTGAGCTGTGTGCCCTCCAGGCCCTGGGCTCCCTCCCCATGAACTGGGGAAGGGACTGAGAGCTCCAAGTTCCTTCCCACTCCTTCAGTGCATTCTCCAGGCTGAAACTCGGGACCAGCGTGGCTGGGAGTAGATACCAGGTCCATCTGGAGCCCAAGCCAGTGGAGGGAGGCTTTGTGAGACTCGTTGGCCCAAGAATCTGGACCCGTGGGATTAATCTACTGAGACCTCAACAGAAATACAATTCTTGTGGACGCCAAGGCCTGCAGGCTACCAAGAGCATCCAAGAAACCGCAGAAGAGTAGCAACAATGCTGGGAAACACAGAGGTGGAGGAATGGGCAGTGTATGTGCGTGTGCGTGCGTGGACGCGGGTGTGTGGGAGAAGGGGGAGTGAGGGTCAGGGCAGGATGGTAACAGGGTCTTTAATCCTAAATTCCCCCAAACATTCAAACGTAGAATAATATGTGTCAGTGCTGGTGCTGCCACCCACGACCCCCTGCGAGCCGCCCCAGGAGCTGGTAGGGTTCCGAGTACATGGGGTGGAGGGTATTAGACATGGACATTCCACTCCTCCCTCAATCCTAGCAGCCCCTCCCTGTAGGACGCCGCCGGGGCAGTGGACAGGAGAATGGGCAGGGGTCTGAAGAAGCCCAGCTCATCTGGGCCCCTGTTCTCCAGTTCCCTGTCCTAGGCACCATCCGCGTCTCATCCCACTCCCGTTTTCCAGGCGAGGAAACCAAGGCTCAAGGAGGTGCGAGGGCAGCCAACAGGCAGCTGATCTCAGTCCAAATGCACATCTGAGTGACCCCAGAGCCTGGGCTGGCGCCAGAGGGCGCTCCCAAACCTTTCCACTCAAGCTTCCTCCCGGCAGAAGAGGGAGCTGGACTCCTGGTAAGGCCCAGAGTGACCAGCCGCAGGCTTGACCTTTCTTTAAAATCTCTTATTTTAGCAGAAGAAACAGTGCACCATGATTGCATTTCTATTATAAGAGTATTTGTGTTTGTTTTCAAAGAAAAGTGATGTCCCTTCTTGTCAATCATCTAATGCATGGATACCACAATGTCCTGGGGCACTGGGTCCCCCTGGCAGGCCGGGGGCTGCACTCCCCGAGGGTCCCAGGCCCATCGAGGAGCCTGTCCCTCCAGTTCTGCCTGTCACATCCGCTGGGCTCCTGCTGTGAGGCAGTGCCCGCCTGCCAGCCTGGGAGGCTCCGCGGCCCCCCCTGTTACCCATGGTCAGCTCTCTGGAGTGCGCTGACGGGGAGCTGCCAGAGGCCTCAGCTGGGCTTTAGGCATCTCCTTCTCCTCCAGTAATGACTTCCTATAAATCAGATCTGCCCTCCGCTTTGTTCTACACTGCTCCCAGCCAACAGCAAAAATCCCCACCCCATATCCTAAAGCCACCTTCATTTTCTTTCCAAATTTCTTATAAGGATTCCTTAACTGTCACCTTGCAGCCCAGACAGATGCTTCCTCAAGAGGTGAGGCCAAAATGCAGAGCTCCTGGGGAAGGGGTGGAGGCCGGGGTGCTGGGGAGGCAGGGTGAAGAGGGAGACCAATGGATTCCAGTGGAGGGGCATGAAGAACCCCGTGACTGTACCCAGGGCTGGAAGGTGGGCAGGGGACCCCACGGAGACCACCTCCAGGGAAGCGGTGGGCGGGCTTGCTCTGGGCTGCCCCTTGTGCCTGGCATGACGCTCTCTGCATCCAGCACCCAGGAAGTGCCCAGCAGAGAGCCCTGGCATCTGTCCTCCTGGGCACCTCGGATGAGGAGGGTGTTGCTGTCTGCTGTACTCCGAAGGTCCCGCCCCTGAGCCAGGCCTGTGCCAGGCCTGTCCTATGCCTCCTTTCATTCTCATGCCCCCACTGCAGGTGAGAAAACTGAGGCCCACGAGGTTAATAAATGGCCAGTCGCTGCCTGGACAGGACGGGCGGTTGAGGCAGGACCCAGTGCCACCTGTGCCACCAGACCATGGCACCAGATCCTGTCCTCTCAGCAGCTCTGCGAGACGGTAGTTCAGACAGTGAGTTCAAGGTGCTCAAAGGGGCTGGGGGAGGTGCCCAAGGTCACTCAGGTCTGCAGAGGCCAGTGCAGAGTCCTGGTCATTACCTTCCCTCTCCTTGGGTTCCCTGCCGGGCCCTCTGCCACATGGACAACTAATTCTCAGGATTCCTTGCACCCTTCAGGCTCCGAGGGGCCGCAGGCATCTGGGAAAGCCGGGGATTGGGATTCCTCTTGAACTAGGAACCATGGGGGAGTGGGCTTTCCTCCACTCAAGTCAGCACCAGCTCAACTCAGCACCCTCGGTCTGCCAGTGGCCCTCCTGTCCCCCGAGAGCGGGCATGCTGGCCACTAGATGGCACTGTGACCTAGCAGAGCAGCAGCTGCTGGCCAACTCGCTCAAGTCTGGAGAGATGGCCTCCCTTCCCCCGCGGGAGAGCAGACAGCGCAGGGCAGGCAGCACCACTGGCCAGCCTGCCCACCGCTTGCCCGGGGCCTCCCCTACTGCCAGGCACAGCCTAGGCCAAGCAGTTGCTCGAGCCACAAAAACTGGGGGTCAAAATCATGCCCTTGTGTGCCAATCCCTGGGGCTGCGTCCCGGTGGGTGCAAGACCTTCCTCCTGTATTGTGGGCTGGAGCTGGGAGGCTCCAGCTGGAGGTCACCAGAAAGGTCAGTGGATTATGGCTGGTTAAGCTTTGGGGGTTGGGGCTCGGGACGCTAGTTTCTCTGCAAACCCTCTGTGTGACCTTGGGCAAGTCCCTTCTCTTCTCTGGACCTCGGTTTGCTCTTTTGTAAAACAAGAGGCTCTCTGAGGTCTGTCCAGCAGCTAGGTGTTGTGTGGCTGGGCTCTGGGGACCTGTGGCTCCCGGACTGCACATCTGGCTATGGCTGGCTTCCTCCAGGGCCTGCTCGTCACTGCCTGTGTCCCTCCCCTTCTCCAGGCCTCAGGGCCCGAGCCTGGAGCTGAGCACTGGCCGTGTGCCAGAGACTCAGCAATCAGGCCAGGCTCCAGTGGCGGCCCTTACATTTGGGGTCCGTCCCTGGGGCTCAGGGGGGTGCTTTGGGTTAGTTTTCCAGCCAGATGTCCATGTGTCATTAACGAAGTGACAACGGGGTCTGCAGGGTAGAGTTGAGGGGCTTGGCGGGCAAGGAAAGGGTGGGCTGGGGAAGGCGGGCAGACACAATAGTAACTTGGTGGGCCAAATAGGTTCTTCTCAGCCAAATGGCTTTTGGAAGTCTGCAGAGCCGCTCTAACGTGTCCTCTGGGCACGCCAGCTGCCCCTGCCTGCCTGTGTGTTCCACAGAAACTGCTGTCCCTTCCTCGAGCTGCCCGGTCCTTTCAGTACAGCCTGGCTCAGTTGGCTGCTGCTCCCATCCCCATCCGTCCTCCTCAGCTGTCTCCTTTTGGTCGCCTCCTGCCCCCTCCTCGGTTCCTGCCAGCCCCTCCGTCAATCCAGCCAGCATGAACAATGCCCCCTTCATGCTCCATCCCAGCCGCAACCTCCTGAATTCTTTTATTCCATGTAGAAGCCTCTCTCCCAGACCTCGCCTCCCTCCAGCTCATCATTTTCAAGTACTTCGTCTCCCCAGCCCACTCTCCTTCTCCCGCAGACCAAGGCACTTAATTGCCAAGCCAGCCCAATGCACAGAACTGGGAACTATTCAGAAAAATTGACGGTACAAATCTAGGCTGAAGCTCCTGCATGTTTATTCCTTTTCCCAGGAAAGCGTGGTTTATTACTGACACTCAGCCAGGAAGTCTGCACATTCACGTGCGGAGCTCGCGCGCGCTGGCATGGGACTGGAGCTGGGCAAACTATTTTACTGTCTAGCCGTTTGTTCCCACAAACTTCGTCAGACAGGTCAACATCAATCTCCCCGTCTCAGCGAAGTGGAAAGTTGGCTAGAGAAAGGCATTATAAACTCAGGAGAGGCTGTGACAACCCTTTCTAGGTAGGGCTTTGAGAGTTGGCTACCCACCCAGGTGTATGGAGGCAGGGGGATGGCCCAAATGACCCCACCCCTACCCCCCACCAACCAAGCATCCTTCTGGGCCCAGGATTTGGATTGGGGTGGGCTGGCCCTTTGGAAGTCTGTAGGGCAAGCTGGGACGGAGAGATCAGGAAGGTCAACCAGCAAGGGGATCTCTACGTCCAAATGACAGGACCAGGACAAGGGAAGCCGAAGTTCACGTGAGACGTGGCTGTGCACAGCTCTGGCTTCCTGGTTTCTGGCACCCGGAGCAGGAACCGGATTGCTCTGCAATCAGCAGTCTATTGGCAGTTTATCAGAGTTTAGTCAGCAGCCGTGCTCGAATTAGAAAAACAGCCTTCCCTAGAAAGATCTCCCTGTCAGAGACTCTGACAATAGGTCCCCCATCCAGAGAGGTGTGTGTATGTGGGGAGGGGGGCATGGCTTCAAGTAAAGGGGCCGGAGAGGTTTTGGAACAAGAACACAATTCTTTGAGCTCAGTTATCTGAGACGGGACCCAGCTGAAGCTGAAGCTTAGGGATTTAGCACTCAATTCCTGGCTGCTTATGTATAAGTAAATAATTTCATCTGCTGTTTGGCAATAAAGAATGCTTTAAACCTCGGCCTTTGTGATTTGTCAGTTTTCTCCTCCAGAACGTGTTCGCCCATCATTTGGGTTACAGCGGGGGATGGGGCAAGAGGTTCTGGGGATAGGATGTTACAGTGTTCTCATCCCATGTCTCACGGCCCCCACGGGGTCCCCCAAAGCCCACACCTGCCAGATAGCTCACCAACCCTTAGAGAGGCAGTGTTGGAGGAGCCGCCTGTTGGGGGTGGGTTGGGAAAAAAGCCTTCATCCTCCCTCCCAGGGACACAAACCCCTCTTCTCCCATGGTCGCTGATGAACTAGACTCAGCCTTGCCGGGCCCAGCCCCCAGCCCCAGGCCCCCCGCCCTTCCAACTCACAGCACCCCGGCCGGCCACCCCGCCACCCGGTGTCACTCTGCCTACCTGTGTATTTGCTGACCCCGGCCTCAGCAGCCACATCTCTGAGCGCCAGAATGCCCTGGGAAAGGTCACTGGCCTCGGGGTCCATTTCAATGAGGGCGTCAGGGCCCACGTTACCGTAGGCATAATTGGCGATGTAGATAGAGTAGCGTCCAGAGCCCTGGGGAAGAAGGGAAGGAGGGTAGGTGAGCAGGCCCATCTGGGCTTGTCGTGGTCTATTTCCAAGAAAGGGGCTCTCCCTCTCCTCATGTAGGACCATGGGTCTTTCTTGGCTCAGCTTCCTCTCCCTGGGGTCTGGTGTGAAGGGCCTTGCGGGCCATGTGGGGCCCAACTCCAGAATCACTTTTCCCCGAGGCTGCAGACTGCACAACACCGCCGCCCCCCTCTGCCGATTCCTACAACAAAGCAGCCCTGCTTCTCCTTCTATCCTGTTCCAGAAGAACACATCCCTCCCTCTCCCCCACAACCACCTTTTTATAGACAATTTTCTAATGTGCCTCTCTCCAGCTGAGCTCTCTCCAGCTGCCAGCCAGGGTAGCTGCTCAATAAATATTTGCTGATTGATTGATCTACCAATTCCCATTATTCTCAGTCTCTCTCTCTCTCCCATTCAAGCTCACCCCAGCCAAGATGACAAGCAAATTCCAGAGTCATCTCCCTCCCCACCTCCCACCCTGGATTCCCTCATTCTGCTATTTCGATGGCCTAAGAGGCTTGGATATGCAGGGGGGCCCCCTTCCAGTTCCTCTGTTTGCCCACATTACCAGAAAGAAACAGTGTATTGCTTCTGCCTTTGTAACACTGTCTCAAACATTTTTTGCCTTTGCATCCAGGAGAAGCCCTGGGCGCCAGCTCCTCCTTGCTACCATCCTTGTCTGCTCTGGTCTGAAACCCCACTGACAAACGCTTCTTGTCTGCCTGTTATTAGAACCGTGTCATTTTTTCAATGGATGCCTCCTTTCTCCCCAGAGAGCCGCCTGTTTTCTGCCTCCGAACAGTTTTCCAGCTTTCCCCTCATCCTTCTCATCATTTCCCTCCAACCCATCAGATAGCAGATATTTCTTGAGCTCCAACTACCTGCAACTCATTCTGCTCTAAATGTCCCCAAAACAACATCTTCGCTCTCCAGTTGCTTGTCGCCTTGTTTAAACACAAGCTAGAAACGTGAAACAACGTGAGAGAAACAGGTGAGTTCCAGGCCACTCTCTTCTCTGCCCTTGGCCCGCGTGGCTGACTTCGATTTCTTCCCCAACCGAACTTCTCGTAAGCCGAACCCCCATCCCACCTAACCGATCACTGGCTTTATCCCTTCCGTGGGCTTTATCCCTTCCGTGGGAATGTTTTCTTTGGGGGAGCTGACGAAGAGCTACTTGAGTCTGACTGACGGGGTGGCTGAGGCCAACAAAGGGGCTCATGGTCTCCTGAGGTGATGCGGACACGGCAACCGTAATACAAGAACATATAGGATTCAGAGAACACGTAAGTTAACTATCCCGAAAATAAAATTTAAAAAAAATGTGAACTAGACTGGAATTTTTTTTTAAAAGAGAGAGAGAGAGAGACTATGTACAGCATTTGCTGGTGTACAGAAGAGGGGGTCCCAGAGGAAGGAGCACTGAACCAGCAGAGTTCAGAAAAGTTTTTCTAAGAGGTGTCTCAACCAGGTGAAGTGTGCAGGAAAGAACCTTCCAGGCACAGATGATACTCTAGAGAATGATGTATGTAGGGAAACCACAAGTGGTTTGTTCGGTGTTGCCGGAATAGAAAATGCAAGAAAGGGCGTGTCGGGGGCTGGAGCTGGAGAAGGAGGAGGAAAAGATATTCCCTAAAGATGCTGATGCCCCCTCTGCTTCGGTTATCTGAGGCTCCATCCTGCTGCCTGGACACTGTGCGCTCCCAGCCTTGTCACTCAGCAGCACAGGTGTCATGGGGGAGCAGGTTAGAACTGCAGACTCTCGGTGGCCTGTCCCCTCTGCCAGACCCGATGACGAAGAATCTGCATTTTCCCACCACCCCCATGTGATCCCCGTGCAAAACCGAAGTTAGAGATGCAGGGCTTCATGGCACAGCTTCGTGACTAGGGGAGAACTCTGAGAGGCACCTGCCGGTGGCAGGAGTATGGCGAATGTGTGTGGAATGATCGGATGAAGACTGAATGAATGGGGCCGAAGGGGAAAGTGTGCCATCCCCGGGCCCATGCCTGACCCTACCAGCTGTTGGCAATCCCTGCCACAAATGGGCAATTAAGCCCAAATGAACTGAAAGGCACTTGGCTGGAAATTAGGATGTTTATAGAATTCCATTATACCTAGTACCTTTCTTCACTCTATGGGGATGATAAAAGTTGACAAACATAGATGTGTTACGATGGCAGGGGACTGCAGAAATTTGCCATGTGGCCTTGAATACAGTCACCCTGGGACAGTGAGGGGGCTGCAGAGGTGAGCCTGGGGAGAGGCTCCCCAGGGCAGTGGGCTCCCCCTTCAATCTACATCAGAATCACGTGGAGCTCTTGTTCAACCGTAGATGCTGGGTCTCATCCCCCAAGTTTCTGATTTGGGAGCTCTGGGGTGGGGCCCGAGAGTTTGCATCTTGAACAAGTTCCCAGGTGAAGTCAATGCTGTTGAGTCAGGAACCACACCCGGAGAGCCACGGTCTAGGGATATTAGCCTGGTCCCGGTCCAGGCTCTGCCCCTCCATGGCTTTGTCCTTGGGCAGTTTCCTCACCCCTTTCGGCTGCGTCTCCTCGTGTGTTAAAGGGGAATCATATTCCCCCTGCTTCCTGGCAGGGTTGTTGAGAAGATGAAATGAGACAACACATGTGAAAGGTCTCCAAAAGATAAAAATGCTATATAAACATGAGGCATAATCATTATTGATCGGGGAACGCTTCTTGTAAGAGATCGGCTTTTAGCTGGATCCAGAAAGGTGGGTGAGTGATGAGGCGGCTGCAGACAAAGGGCAGGAGAGGGTGTCAGCTTTGGGGCCTAGAGGGGATGGGGGCGGCTGGAGAGAGGACAGGAAGGGCATGTGGTAGGGTTGAGACCTTTACCTGGGGGACGGCTGTCCCACTACGGCCTGCGCCAGAGTCACCCGCAGGGCTCGCTCAAACCCAGACTTCTGCCCACCTCCTCTGCCCTGTGGGTTCAGACGCAGTAGGTCTGGAGGAGGGAGTGCGGATCCGGCCCGGAGAATCTGCATTTCCGACAATGTTGCTGGTGCTGCTGGTCCGGAGACCACATGCTGGGAACAGGTCAACTAAAAGGCATTGGTGCTGGGGGGTGGGGGTGCTGTGGGGCTGAGGAAGGGGTAGGTGAACACTGTAACAGCACCTGTGGTTAGAAATTGGTGACTGACACTGGTTCACCCAGGGGCAGGGTCGCCGTGGGACAGAAAGGCGTCTGATTCGTTCTCAATTTCTGTCTTTGCCTGCCATTTAACTACGAGACCAAGGTCAAGTTTCTTAATTGCTGGAAGCCTTAGTTTCCAGATCTGTAAAATGGGGATAATGACAGCAGGTACCTCGTAAGCCTACTGTGAAGAATCAGTAAACAACGTGAATAAAGCCCCGAGCTCAGGGCTTGGTGTGCTGCTCGTTCATTACGGTTAGCTGTCATTATTGCTAAGATTGCTTCTGTGTTTCCTACACTGCGCAGCATCCCAGAGTGGCCATGACCTGGCTCCATTCCCCCCACCCCTCTCCAGTTCTCAGGACCCAGGGATTGCCAGGGTGGCAGTGGTGGCTGGACCCAGAAAGGAGTCCCTCTCCTGGTGGCAGACCCTGTAGGGGCTTTTTCTAGTTCCCCGAGTGCCTGCGTGCCAAAGCTTTTTTTTTTTTTTTTTTTTTTTTTTTTTTTTTTTTTTTTGTATTTCACATGGTGCCTTTGTCCTGTGGTTAAAAGTGTGGGCGTGCAGATGACCTTGTTAGGACAAAGAGTGCATCTCTTTGTGATTAACCTTCAGGCCCTGTCCCCAGCTCGGAGATGATTCTCACCTTGGCCAAGTGTGGGAAGTCTTGGTTCCGCAGGAGCGAGGCAGGAAGCAGGAGGCTGGTAAGAGGCTCCCCGCAGCGGCCAGGCCTGGCACCCTCCAGACCCTTCTCACTCTTTTGGGGCGGCTCACAGAGCCACGGCCTCCTCCTTCCCTCCCACCAGGCAGGAGTCCAGGTGGCAAAGATTCAGGTCAGGGCTAAATGTGGCTTCACAGCCCAGCTTGGCTTCTTTTCCCAGCACCAGCTTGTTAAGAAATAAATATTTATACCTGGCACCTGCCTTCTCCCAAGGCCTGGAGGCCCCTGCTGTGAAGATTCACGCTGAATCCCCAATCCCCTCGGTGCCATCTCCATCCTGAAACGAGCCAGGCCCCTGGCCCCTTGACCCTGCCCCCGGAATGGAAGCTAGACAGCAGCTGGGCCCCTGATTTACGGATGTCTGTCTCTAAAGCCAAGGAGGGGGCAGCAGGGGAGCAGGTGACAGGAGGGATAAATGGCCTCCACGGCAAGCCTGGGCTCTGGTTGGGGCTGCTGGGACGCAAGCCTGGGCCGGGGCCACCCCCTGGGGCAGGTGGCTGTCTGCTCCTGCCCCTCCCCTTCCGCCTTTCCTCCCTACCTGCTTTGGCATGGGGGGGGGAACTAGCAGGCACGAAAGCAGTGACTGAGCTACTGATTAACCAGAGGACTGGGACATTCAGGCCACCCTCCACTCACCCACTAACCAACCTCTTTGTCATTCCTTCATCGTTCCACAAATATTTTCAGCAAGAGCCGTATGGCTCAATGCCTGGCACATAGTAAAGGCTTAATAAATATTGGCTGAATGACTAAATGATCACAAGGTTTAGAGCTGGAAGAGTCTGATTCATGTCCTAGTCACACTGCCAATCTTGTTGGGGGCCTGAGGCCAGTCAGTGCCCAAGCTGGGCCTTAGTGCCCTCCTCTGCCCAACGGATGCAGTGAGGACAGCCCCTGACCAGTTTCCTCGCTGGTTGCTGGGAGAGCCTCAAGGGAGAAAGGATGTGAAAGCAGATAGTAACTCACCCTGCAAATCTTGTCAGTATTTAGCACCTGCTACATGTAAGGCACTGTGGGGGGTACAGCTTTGGGCTCTGCCCTGGACAGCCCCGCTCTGTCGGGCCATGTCTGCCTGTGGGCTCCCTTCCATGTCCCCTGTGGGCTCTCACGTTGCCATGTGGCCCCCTCTTCTCCCCAGACCCCCATGCACCCCTAAGCTCACCGTCCTGTCCACGCAGGCCACAGAGCGCCCGGCAAAGAGGCTGGCCACACCGCGGGCCACGTTGACCTCGTCACTGAGGATGTCTTCCCAGCGGTTGTTGCGGAACTTGAACAACTTGTCCGTGTACGTGGCCACCCCTGGAGAGAAGAGGAAGGGAGGCTGGTGGATGGTGGCCCAGTGTGCAGGTAGGTTTCGGGACACCTGCCGCAGGTGGTTGGGGCCACGGGTAGACAGGTCATCGAGGCAAGGTGAGCGCTCCCCACAGCAGGCGGATGAGGCTCTCTCTGTCTAGGGGATGCTGGAGTGTTTTCGGTTGAGAGAAGAGACTGGCTTATGAAAATGGCCAACCCAGCCCTCAGTAGCCACAGATCTACCCTGGGTCTGAGATGACCCTCAATAGTGGGGTTCACACCTGGCCCCCTACTCCTGCGCCAACTGTACGGGAGATCTGAGCTTGCTGATATTCCAGCACCCAAATCCCACCCAGGATGTCTCTTTCTCTGGGACCTCCTCCTGCATTCTCTGCTAGATCACAGGACCTCATTTGGGTCTGAGAAGAAACAATGCTGGTTGGTAGCTGGGGCTCTAAGCCCAGATCCAGAAAGGTCTGGAAGTGGAGCTCTGATGGACTTGTCGCCCACCCCCAGGGAAACCCAATGGCAGCAGGGTCAGGGTCAGTGCCCAGGTGGGGTGAAAGGGGTGAGCAGCCCTGGGAGGCCCTCGGGGGCCAGGGTCTCCACCCCTTTCAGAGCTGGACGGAGGCCGAGGACCGCCAGCTCAGGGAGTCGCACGCATGGCACCGCGTGGCATACCACATGTAACTGTGGGAGCTCTGTGGCCTCCCGGAGCTCGTTCATGGCCAAGGTTTATTTTGGGGAAGGGCAAAGAACTTCTGGTGGCCAGAGGCTCAATCCCTTGTAAGACCACTTAGAGCGCTCCACTCTGCCATGACCCCTAGTTGGTTTCTTGCTCATATGAGCCCCAGAGCGTTTGTATTTTGGGAGGGGTCATGTTCCACACTCAAGGGCTGGCATAGGAAACACAGGAGAGACAGCAAAGGGGCAGCTGTAGGAAGCTGGGAACGTGAGCTGGGGGACGAGTGGCCCTGGGGACAGACCCCTGCACTTGACTCTCTGGCTGGCCCAAGGCGGAGGCCATGGCTTAGGCTGAAGGGAGCTATATGGCGCAGTAGTTAAGACCTTGGGGTTTAGAGTAAACAATCCCCCATCCTCGTCTCTGTTCTACCCAGATTCCACTATTCTAGGGGCTAGTTGTTGACTTTGGGCAAGTTGCTTAGCATCTCTGAGCTTCAGTTTTCCCATTTGCAGATGGGATGAGAGTAATAGCTACATCCAGTTTGCTGCGAAGAATACAGGAGTTGATGTACACAGAAGGCGAGCACAGCGCCCCCTCGAGGTGGGGGGGTATTAGCCAGAAGTGGTCATTCCCAGGTTACGGATGGGGCCCTCTCCAAGATCCTTTAGGGACCTCGGCTCCACACTGCCTGGTGAGCATCTGTGTGCGAAATGAGTGGCTGAGTAGGACTGAGGGAGTGGGACCATGTTAGGAGAGGGCACTTATGAAGGATCCCTCAGGGAGTTCTGTCCAGGAGAGGACAAAAGGCTTTGCTCTCTAAGTGGCCTCCTGTGGAAACCTCCTAAGACCACAGGGACCAACGGGTTTGCTGTGTGGTCTGTGGGGTCTGGCGGTGGCTTCCGAGATGCTCCCCAGACCCTAGGGAGCTGGCCCCGGAGCAGAGAGCCCTTCTACCCGGCCTGACCCTCCCAGAGGTGCAGAGGCCTGTCCAGGGGAGGGAAGGCCTTTCGTGAGCAGAGCTGGAAGCCAATCCGGGAGGCCTGCCGGTATTTGTGCGTGGAGGCTTGGGCTGGGGAGTACAGCTGGGGTGGGCACAGAACTGCTTGGCTGGCTAGGGAAGCCCACTGAGGCAACTGAGGAACTGGGTCTGGACGGAAGCACAGGTGCCGACTCCCCTTAGCTCGGGGCCTTGCTGGCCCTTTATCCTCTCCAGCCTCGGTTTCCTCATCTGGGCCTCGGGGTACCAGCCGAGCCTCCTCCCTCAGAGGTGGCTGTGAGAATTACAGGATAAAATGCACGGCAGCCCCCAGCCCCGGGTCAGAGCTGCCCAGGTCGGCCCATGCCACCCCAGTCCGCGGACCGCAGCGCCATCCCTGGGGGCCAGACGTACTTAGAAATTTAGATTTTGTTCTTTCACATTTTAGAAAGGTAACACAGTGCACACACCGTTTATTACATAACACCCCCGGGAGGGATGGGGCAGTACCTTGTAATTAAACACATTAATATTTCTGCAGTAAAATAGATGAATATTCACACTAAGTGGGATAAATAAAGCCTATAAATAGCTCGCGTCAGCTCAGGACAGGTTTTGCCAGCAATTCATTTTCCCACAAACTTAAAAAAGAAAAGCACCTGAGGCTTTCAGAGTGTTTTGGATTTGAGGACTGCGGAGAAGGGGCTGTGGGCCTGGACTGCCGTGCTCGAGGCTGTTCCCGAGGCAGTGGCAACCTTGTCATCACTTCCCAATGCTTGGGGGACCTCTGATGATGGCCCTGCAGGCTTCTGGGTCTCTAGCCTCCACCAACAGCAAGCAACTCTTGCCCTCCTCTGTCAGACCAGGGCCCCTTTAGATGGTCCCTCCAGCTAGGCTAGTCCCCCCTGCAATACTGGGGTTAACTTCTAGCCCCGCGTGGGCCAGCAGCTGGGGCTCTGCGGAGCTCGACACTCACCTCCACGTTCAGAGGGAGCAATTCCTCATGCTGCGGATTTCCTGCCTCAGTGAGACCAGAGGAGCGTATGGCCCCAGGGTGCCTCTGTCCTCCTCTGTTGCCTCATCACCTCCAACTCCCCCTGCTCCCCCAAGATAAACATTTCCCAGAGTGTGCTTTACGGAACCCTGGTCTCTGTGAGCTGCCTGGAAGATTCTGTGATCATCTGAGTTTGGGAATGACCACAACTTCCATCCTCCTGCTTGGAGAATCTCAATGGACATCAGTCTATTAAAACTTTGACAAGTCCTGCAATAAATTACCTACTGAATCTTATTTAATCCAGCCTGTCCCGAGCACAGCTCGCCACGGAGCCCCTTTGTGCAACTCACCTATTAGCACCCTGCGGAACGAGCCCTAGTCTTAGCCAGCTGCTGTAGTAGGGTGCTGCTCTAGGGCCAGGCCCTGGGCTTTGTGGCCTGAGGGGTCAGGGCGTCCCGTGTTGTTAGCCTCTTCCCCTGTTCCACCTCCTGGCTTCTGAGCTGACTAGGGACGCCCAGAAGAATAAACTAATTAAGGTAAAATGTGCAACAGTGATGCAGAGCCTTGTAGATCATAAATGGGAACGGCAAAATCAATGGCAGGCCCTCTGCAGGCAGAGGCCTGGAGGCCCGGGCAAGGGGAGACGGGAGCCCATGATTTAGGAAGAGCAAATGCTCTGGCAGCTGCAACCTGGGTAATTAGGTGTGTCAGGAAGACAGATAAACAGCGGGCGGTGTGGGTCGATGGCACCGGCAGTAACCACCTAGCACTGGCACCCGGCTCATGTCGGTGTGTAATCTGCCTTCTGGCTCCTTGTAGCTGCCCTCCGCCCTGGTGTCCCGCACTGAGTCAACGGGCAGCTGACCAGGAAGAAGAGAGGCTGTTAGTTGCTGGAGAGAGGGGCTCTACTGAGCCCCCTGGAGCAGATTCTGAGAGGACAGAGGCCTGGGAGAAACAGAAGGGGGTTTATGGGCAGGGCAGAGTGCTCCAGGGGTCACAGCCCCTCTGAGACGCATGTCTGGGGACTTCCATTCCCATCCTGACTTTGGCATCTGGGTATTGAAGGAGACTGGAAGGTCTCAGAGGACAGTAGGACTGCCAGTTGCTACCAGGCGGCCGGGGGAAAGGCCCAGTAGGGGAGGCTCAGGAGTCTGCCACCCTGTGGGTACCAGGTATGGTAGGAGGCCACCAGGAAAGAGGAGTCTCAGTCGCTGATTCTGGGTGCTTACGGTTCATTCAACAACAGGAGGGATGGGTAGAGGAGATGCCGTGGGACCACAGTGAAACTGATACTACTTAACATTTCTGCAGCATTTCACATATATTCCCTCATGTGCCAGCCATTTCACACCCATTCATTAACCCTCACCACAACCCCGAGCTGGGAATGATTTGCCTGCTTGATTTATAGATGAAGGACCCGAGGCGCAAGAGACAAGGGACCTGCCTAAGTCCCCACAGTTAACAGAGCTCGGAGGGGCAGGATGGGATGATACATCCTGGAGATGCCATGACGTTGGGATGGAAGGGGCTACGGTGATAAGGGAGGGCTTCGTGATGGAGGAGGCACCTGAACCTGGACTTGAAGGGTCCGAGTAACAAAGACTCCTGTGTATAGAGCACTTAGTATGGCCAGGCTTTGCATGAAGCTTCTCTTTTATAAACACCATCTGCCCTAAACCCACCTTGAGAGGTGGTGCAGCACCTTTCTCCCAGACGGAGAAATTGGGGGGGCAGAGAGGTTAGTCAGTTGCCCAGGGTCCCAGCCGTACTCTGTGCATCTTTTACCCCTTGCTTGGAGACTTTCAGGGGACATCAGTCTATTAAAACTTGGCATAGACAGAGAGACAGAGGCCACACGGTTTGCCCAGAGAGAAGAATTTGTGGAGGTTGAGGGGGAAAAACATGCAGGGAAGGAGAGACCCACTAATTCCATGCAGAATTCTGTTCCACTAATTCTGAGGGCAGAAAGGGCCCTTGGTGGTTTCTGATCTGGGGAAGACGGTGTCTCCAGAAGATGAACCTGGCAATGGAGTGAGGCATGGGGTAGCAAGGGAGAAAAGGTGGCCAATTCTGTGATGATAGTAGGAGTGGGAGGAAGCAGGGGATGCAGGAGGCAGGTGCAGGAAGGCTGGAGGTGGGGGTTGAGTGGGGCTGAGTGGGTTGAATGGGATAGCGACTGAAGCAGGGGCACCGGCCAGCTAGGCATGAGAGCAGAAGCTTGGCTTTTGCATTTGTCAGGGTCACAAAGTGGCTGAGAAGACATATCCAAGAGGTCATTGGCCATGAAGGATAGCAGCTTTTACAGGGCAGCAAGTCTGGGGTAGGGGCGGAGGGGAAAGAACATGTC